GGGTGTCCACTATGCTATGGGGGATGAGGGAGGAAGCAGAGAAAAGAATCGGGAAATATTGGGAGGTGGGGGCTGAGGGAGCTGCAATTTTAAAGAGTAAAGACCTAAAGAAGGGATGGAACAAACCATGTGATTATGTAGGGTAAGTGTTTTCAGTTCACAGGGAATAGCAGCAGGGGCAAAGCCCTGAGGCAGGAATGCTGGCTTGCTGGAACACAGCAAGGAAGCCATGGGGTGGAGGAAACAAAGAGTTTGGAATGAAAGGGAGAAGAGATGGGACGAGTAGGTCACTTGGTTGGCCCAGCAAGGACTTTAGTTTTCACTCTGGATGAAGTGGAAAACCACTAGAAAGTACTGAGTAAAGGGGTGATAGGCTCTGACTTACATTTTAATAGGATAACTCTGGCTGTGTTGAGAACACAAGGAAGCAAAGGTGGAAGCAAGGAGATCAATTTAGGAATTGCTGGCCCTGGCCAGTGTTGCGAAGTGGTTGAAGTGTCTCACAGCACTGAAGGGTCTCGGGTTTGATTCCCGGTCAAGGGCACGTACCTGGGTTGCAGGTTCAATCCCCAGCCCTCTTTCTCTTCCCTCCCTCCCTTCCTTCCACTCTCTTTAAAAGTCAATGGGAAAAATATCCTCAATGCTGAGTAAATGCAGAAGGAAGATGTGGAAAATGGTCTAACGGAGAGTTATTTCTATGAAAAGAAGGATTTTGAGGACGTTCAGAATTGAAGACAGGAATGCCAAGGCAAATTTCTTACCTAAGCTTCAGTTTCTTCATTTATGTAACTAGGACAATAGTAGTACCTACCTGATGGAGTTGTGAGGGATAAATAAAATAACAAAAGTTGAGAGTGGGAAAAGCAAATGACTTCTGGGCCAGAAGGGCAGAACAATAGAGTTATATATGTCATTTTAAAATGGAGGAGTATGCCTTACATTACACAAAAATAAACTGTTAAAAGGGTGTCCTTGGGTTAGTAAATAAAAGAATTCTTACTTCATCAAAGTTGGGTGATGAGGTGGTATCTTTTCTCTGAGACTTCTCTCTTTTTTCACAAGTTTCTTTGGACATTTTGAAAAGCTAAAATAAACATTAAAAACACATTATGTGTATTTTAACACCACCACAAAAAATACATTAGAAATTATTCTTCTTTCAGTTATTTAAAGACTGGAGTTTTACAAAATTATTTCCATTTGCTAACCTTTCCTAAGATAATAGGATTCTCTCACTGTTCCGTTATGATGATTCTCCCTCATAATGATCTATCCTCTCCTTCAACTTCATCTTACTTTAGGAATGACTCCCCAAACTATGCCCATAGCCCTGACTTCTCTCTCAAGCATCTGATCATCATTTTCTACTGCCTGCAGGACTACTGCATTTTGACCCACCTACACCTCAAAACAAATTAGTCATAAGTCTTCATTTTCCTGACACACCCACTGTCACTCACTGAGTGAGACTTTGGGCAAATCACACACATTTTTTGAGTCCAAGTTTCATTATATGTAAATCAGAGATAACCTATCCCAGAGGGTTTTGAGGGACTTAAATGAAACAATGGATATTAAAATGCCTTGCACCAGGTAAAGCATAGTAGGGCCTAAATAAATACTGGCTTACATGGTTGTCTCCCTACTACCCTGAGCTCCCTGAAGAGTATGCAGTATTAAAAACGTAGGAGGTGCTCATAAATGCTTGCTGAGGGAGAGAACACGTGATTGTTTTCTTCCTTAGAATATTTACTCTAATTCTGAGCCACTACCAACTCTGGCCCATTTCAGGCTCTGTCACTTTCCCTCACCAGTCCCACCTTTCCAGCCCTGCTCCAAATCAAGTCAATACTGTTAGTTTCTGAACCTCTGTCCCACCCCCCAGAAAGCATTAAGACAAATATAGTCATTCCTTGTGATCAAAAACACTCTTATAGTATACCGAAAGCATCCTGTGCTGGAACATAGAGGCCCCAAACTGGGAACATCACCAGGACTGTTGGGACAGGAAAATATAAAAGGGGGGCTAGGAGCAAAGCCCAAAGGAGCGTTTATTGCTGGTAGTAACACATACTGAGACTACAGACCTAAAGACTAGAAATCAAGCAACTGCAATTACTTCTGGTCAGTCATGATCAGTAAGTGAAGTTCTACGAAAGAATGATCGATTATAAAATCAAACTTTTAGAATGCTTTGATGAATATGAAGAGGAAAGCCTGGTTGGTGTAGCTCAGTGGTTGAGCGTTGACCTATGAATCAGGAGGTCACAGTTTGATTCCTGATCAGGGCACCTGCCCAGGTTTGATCCCCAATAGGAGGCAGCCGATCAATGATTCTCTCATCATTGATGTTTCTATCTCTCCCTCTCCCTTCCTCTCTGAAAGCAATAGAAATATATTTAAAACAACAACAACAACATAATGCTAAAATTTAAACCTCTTGTCCTAAAGACAAATTGAAAAAAACACTGCAGATAGTGAACTATTAAAGGAAAAACACCTGTATATTTACCATGACAAGTGCTTTATACTTATACTAGAGGCCCGGTGCACGAAATTTGTGCATGGATAGGGTCCCTAGGCCTGGCCGGCGATCAGGGTCAATCGGGGCCTTCCAGCTGCCAGCCAGGGCCTTCCTTCATTCCATGCCACCCCCCTGGTGGTCAGCACATGTCATAGCGAGTGATCAAACTCCCAGTCTCCCAGTCGAACTCCCGAGGGGACACTTTGCATATCAGCCTTTTACATATATGGATAAAATGTGAAATTCACATTGATTTTGTAAAAATCAAAATATAAACTAAATGAGAGAAGACCTCCTGTGCTGGTCAGCCTCCAGAATGGTCTCCTCTCACATAATAAATAGGGCTGATCTGTGTTTCCAGTAAGATATTGCTAAATGGCAGTATGTGGCTAGGTCACCTAAGACATTGTGGCTTCTGCCTTTCTCTGTCCTGAACTGTTCATTCTAGAGAAAGCCAGCCACCAGGTCATGAGCACATTCAAGGAGTCCATGGAGATGCCCACCTCTTCCCAAAAAACCACCAAGTGCCAGGAATGTGAGTGAGCCACCTTGGGAGCTAATACATGGCAACATCCTTGCCAGGTATCTTCATATCCTCATGAGAAACCCCGGAGCTAGACACCCAAAAAGCCATCTGTGAATTTCCGACCTACTGAAACCGAGGTGTAAAAAAAATGTTTATCATTTTAAGCCACTAAACTCTGGGATAATTTAGGCAGCAAGAGATTAGTAATACACTCACTTAATATAATTCTTCAAACTCGGAAGATTCCTTTTTAGGATGTCTCAAGATCAACAACCGTGCTTACAAATTCTTTTTTTTTTTTTGTATGCATGCATATAAGCATAACCAATGGACACAGGCACAAGGGGGGGTGAGGGCATATGGGGGGAAAAGGAAACATATGTAATACTTTAAACAATAAAGAATTAAAGAAAAAAAAATCTTGCTAAAACTCCCATAGAATGTACACGCTAAAACCTAACCCTTGTCATCTTCTGTTTTCCAGCCGGTATGAAATGATTAGAGTGCCAGCGGTTCTCAACCTGTGGGTCGCGACCCCTTTGGGGGTGGCCTAAGACCATCGGAAAACACATCTATAATTACATATTGTTTTTGTGATGAATCACTATGCTTTAATTATGTTCAATTTGTAACAATGAAAATACATCCTGCATAAAGATATTTACATTACAATTCATAACAGCAGCAACATTACAGTTATGAAGTAGCAACGAAAATAATTTTATGGTTGGGTCACAACATGAGGAACTGTATTTAAAGGGCCAGAAGGTTGAGAACCAGTGGAATCATGATTAGACGGACACACCGAATCAAGCTTTCAACTCACCCTCCAGTCTTGCAACGATTCTTGGATAATGGACAAATAGAGTGAGCCACACCTCCTAAGTTTTAATGTGTCCTTACCCCGTTTTTTTTAATTGTCTTGCACCTGAGACTCAAAGCAGCTGCCCTCTCCTGTGGCCTGTAACGCTCAGCCCGCCCCGGACAGAAGGGCCGGAAAACTTGTTTTCCCCGCGCTGCCTGCCCCGCGGGCTCAGGGCGTGCGGCTCAGGCTCCTGCAGGCCCCGAGTCCAAGGAAGACAAGAACCAAGGGGGGGAGGGGACTCACTGGGATGTGCCTCAGGGAACCCGCACGGCACCCATCAAGTGCCCGAAGCTCAACACACTCAGAGTTCTGGTCATTAAAAGCCTAGATACCAGCGTGAGGGGGGAGGGGGCGGGTGGCCCTAGGCACCGGACGCTTACAACCCCGGCGCAGCGCGGAAGAAACCGGGAATACGCGGATTACAGCAAAAAAAAAAACAAAACAAAACGAGAGTGATCGGGTCCCGGCGCGGGTGAGGGTGCGAAATGCGGGGCGGACACCAACTTGAAGCGGCCGGGCTGACAGGCGAACTCTCCAGCGGCTCCTCAACCGCGGGGACTAGAACCTACGCGGAGCCAAGGGCAGCCCCAGAGGCAGGGCCGGGCCAGAACCACACCCTTCACGGAGCCCGCTGGACCCCGGGTCCGCCCACCTATCGCCCGCCCCATCTTACATTCAGAGTGGCCCCCGGAACCCCCAGGACGGCCGGCTGCCGCCAAGGTCCCGCACTAACCGGAGGAGCCTGCCCAGCAGAACGTCAACGAATCCCCCCCCAGCTCCCCACCTTACCAACGCCGGCGGCGGTGGCGACTCCAGAGGCCCCGCCAGGGGAAAGAGACCCCTGAACCCGAGGCCCGCCGGGAAATGTAGTTCTGCACTCGGCTCCAGATTAACCACTGGGAGCATTCACTCTCTCCTAGGACTTGGAACTCCAAGTTCCCCCCGTCGGAGCGGTGCACGCTGGGTATTGTAGTCTTGGCTCGGTTGGGTGGTTGACGGCTGGAACCGGTACGCACAGTGGAAACAGAACTCTCTGACCTCATTGGTCGCCGTCCCCAGGTCGCTTCTGCGCAGTGAGTGGTGGCGTCGTAACGCCTCGGGGAAAGGGAAGCGGATAGAACCGTGAATCGCTGCCTCTGGCTTTTAATTCTTCTGCTGACAGGCGCTGGTCACTGGTTCTTCCTCTTTTGTCTATTGCACGCAGCCCGCCCTCCCCACTAGCTTTCCCACTCCTCGGATCCAGCCCTCTGGGCATTCACGCCGGTTTTCTGATCCCGCCGTGAGCTCACTCCTGCTCCCCGCGCGGGTCTGGCACGGAGGCGGTAACTATGGAGAATATGGCGGAGGAGGAGGAGGAGGTGGCTCCGGCCCAGGTCCCGACCTCGGCCCCGGACTCGGCTCGGGTCCCAGCTCCGGCCCCGGACTCGGCTCCGACTCCAGCCCCAGCCCCTGCCCTGGCTCCGGCCCCGGCCCCGGCCCTGTCCCCGTCCCCAGCCTCTGCCCCTGACGAGGCTGAAAGCAGTAAGTGCAGGAGGCCCAGGTCTTTCTGCTGCAGGAGAAGCGAGAAAGTGCGTCTTGCGGGGGAGGCCCTTCTTCACTGGGGTGGCTTTCATGGGAAAGGAAGGGGTAGGGCGATGGGGAAGGACGAGGGACCCGCGCTGCGCGGCAAACGGGCACCGAATGGAGAAGGCATGTCCACCAGCCTCGAGGACATTGCGATGAAGGTTATGTGGGGGCTAGGGGTGCTGCAAAATGAGCTTGAGGGCTTCTTCGTTAAAGGGGGTCTTTTTCTGGTGCAAAAATAGGAAGTTACACCTGATCTGGTAGTTTCTCTGAGCTTCCGTCACGGAGTCCTTTGAAAATGTAACATAGTAATCGAGGCAACCCGTGTTTACTGTAGCAGATCCTAGCTGTCAAGATTTAGAAACCATTGCTCTCAACTAGGTTTTATGTCCGGACATACACAAAAAAGATGAGCTTTTCTCATTTCATTTTCTACAGCAGTTTGCTTCCAAAAAGAATTTGAGGGTGACGAGTGGTTGAATAATCTACTAAATTATGGATTTATGTCTTCCCTCGGACATAAATACCAATGGAGTTTTGTATTTCATTAGATCAGAAGTCAGCTGTTGAAAAGGATAGCCCATATTATTGTTTGCGCTTCTGAATGTGCTTGCATGTTTTCTAAGTGATTTGTTGGGCCATAGAGGACAAAGGTAGGCCCTCCTCATCTTAAGGTCAGAGCTAGGTAGATGCAAAATAAGGCCAGTTGTACAATGGTAGAGGGTAGAAGGTAGAGGGGGTTCACTGAGTAGTCTCCCTCATCGGGTGTGGTGTAGCAGCTTTAGGAATGCATGCTGTCTCTAACTCATCAAGAATATGTTAAGCACTTTGGGAAGATTTATTCACGTGTTTTAAAGTTTACAAGTATGTAATTCAAAGAATGCAATCTTTGAGAAACCTGGGACACATAGGTAACAACTGAAATTGGAAATGCATTAGAAATATATATTAATCGCATTTTAAAAATTATCTCTTGATGGTCTAGTTAGTCCTTAGAGGTCCGTCTTACGTAGACAAGATGAAGATGGCACCTCTGAAATAGAACTGAAAATTGAGGAAGAAGTAACAGAAGTTGTAAACAAAACCTCCTAGCATCTGATTTAATAAGGGGTTTTCTCTTGACTTCTGGATTATTAGTGTGTTCCAGAAAGGTTGAGTAGATTTAAGTGCAGATTGCCTGATATCTACTGTCTTGAACCACAAAGTGATTTCAGAGGTGTACATAGGCATATCATGAATCTTTATTTAGACAGGTCTTTGGGAGTTTTCTTCAGTAGTGGACCATGGGATTTTCCATTTTCTCTTCTAACTTACCGGGCCCCTTCCTTTTATTTTGTACTATTTAGTAGTTAGGATGATTTCAAAAAGCACATCTTTACATAGATATCTATATCTATAACTTGTTGCATATATACAGACCTTTGAACCATGGAAGCCAAAAGCCTTTATGATAACAAATTTTTCTCATTTAAAAGTAAGGTAAAAAATTTGTATTTTAATAAATTTGAGAAAGAATGGCTGATAGTACTGTATTAAATTCCAAAATTGTAGAATGTCCTGCTGCATCCAAAAAGACTAGTGATGTTTAAAAGTTATTTAACAAACGTCAGTGCCTGCTGTGTGTAAAGGCACTTAGCCATTACAAAGATGAATAAGACCTAGCCCCTGCTTTCTTACTGTTTATTGATGGGGGAAGACAGACAAGGCCACGAATTAGACAAAGGAGCTGGGAGTGAAGCTCAGAGAGGAAGTAGGCAGGACAGTAGCAGTGTCAAGAATAAAATTTAAAAGGCTGATGGTTCTAAATTGTATAACCTAATTATATAATGACTATTAGAGAGCCTATGGCTTATCCCATCATCTCCTATCTCATTGGAGATCTGTCCCTAAAAGTTATCACCTCCTAGTCTTGTATATTCAGGCCCCCACTTTGTAAACGTTCTCTTCCAAAATTTAGAAGTATGTAATTTGAAGGATGTGTAATATTTGAGAAACCTGAAAGTGTGTTTCTGGGTCTGGGTTTTGAATTTTTTCTTCTCTTTTTCACATTTTTTTTTCTCAGGCTTTCTTCCTCATGTTCATAGTTTCGCCTAACATATGAATGTATTATTTATATCCATTCAGAATCCCTCCTGAACTCCAAAAACAAAACTGCCTACTGGACTTTACTACATGAATACCAGTAGTATATCAAACACACTATGCCAAGAACTAAATTCCCTCTTTTCCTTTCCTCTTCCTTTCTGCCAAAAGTATTTTCTTCTTCCTTTATTGGTTCATGGTACCATTAGTCTCAACCATGTAAACTTGAAATCTTAGATTCATTCTTGAATTTACTCTTCAGTCTTACTTTACACCCACATCCCAAGTTCTTTCTTTCTTTTTTTTCTTTGGTTTTACCTTCTAGTCTCCTGTACCTATCTATTTCTCACCTCAATTATTGATCCTTGGTACTATAGCCAGAGATACCCTCCTGAAACACAGTCAAATCATACTCACTTTCTCAAAAACCTGCAAAGACTTAGCATTGCCTAAAGAAAAAAGGTCAAACCAACTTGCATAGAATTTATGCCTTTTATTATCTGTACTACATTGGGGCTGCATATTTTTCTACCAACTCCATCTAGCCAGGTGTGGGATAGAAGTGGCTGTATTTTTTATACCACATTCCTTTGTTCATGAGATTACTTAAGTTTATAAGGCCAGCCACCAAATCTGACTGAATTCTGTTCATACCTTAATGCGCTTCTTCAGTAAAGACCTTCTCAGAGGCTCTTGTTGGAATTAATTGCCCCTTACTCAGTGTGTCCACATTATATTCACCCTGAGTATTCTTTCATTCTGCCTTGTGTTACAGTTAGTAGTTCATCTCTCCTACCTGATTGAAAGTTCTTTGAAGATAGGAAACATGGCTTAAGTTTCTTCAGTGTTTTGTACAGAATAGAAACATTTTTTAAGAATTATATTGAATAATTAAGTAAATTTTAAAGCTGTCAGGTTGCATAAATGTAGTTTTATCCCCTGTTTGCATTCTGAGGCACACTTGTCATTTATAAACTGAGTCCCAGCAGTATTCTCCATCTAGGTATTAGGGAATTATGCTATAGGAAATAAAACTGTCAAACTCTAGGTGAAGTAATTAATTAATAATGGAACTGGAATATAGATTGTTAAAGCGTAATTTTCTAATTTTTAAATTTTCTTTCAGAGAGACACATCTCAATTCAGAGGCAGCTTGCTGATCTAGAGAAGTTAGCTTTTGTAACTGAAGGTGATTTTGACTCTGCTAGTTCATTGAATTCAGATCATCTTGATGCAGGTATTTCCATGTTTGTTTGTGTGTGTATGTTTTCTTAATTTCTAATGGTTTGTTATCTAGCATGAAAAATTTGCTAGAAATAGACTTGTATATTCTGTTGAACTAGAGGAGTAGTAAATATTTTTATGCAGGAAACTGATAGTCATCTCTATGCAAAGGTTCGGTGGAATCAGTTACTTCACAACTCAGGGAAATTACAGTCTCATCCTATGTAATCCTATATAATAAAAGCATAGTATGCAAATTGTCCCCTGGACCAGGAGTTCCTCTGGGAGTTCGACCAGGGGGCGGGGCCAGCCAGGGAAAGGGAGGGAGTACCCGGCCAGCAGCTGGCAGCCGGCAGCTGCTAGGGATCCTACCAGTGCATGAAGGGTGTGTGTATTCTATGTGTATATCTATTGCATTTGGCTAGGAGTAACAAAAAAAACCCAAAAAACATTGCCTTAAAAAATATGGAGGCTTATATTCTCTCCTGTAAAATAAGTACCAAGATAAGCAATCTAGGGCTGGTACAAGAGTTCCACGGTACTGTCAATGCCCTAAGCTCCTCTCTTTCTGATTTGCCATCCTTAGTGCTTGGATTCCATACTTAAGATCACCTCATAGTTTTTTGAAGTAGGCCCAGTATTAGAAAAAATAGTGTCTATACTTGCAGTGTGCTATACGTGAAAGGTATTTGTTGGATTAAAATTTATTAAGTGGGTTATTGATTGTTTCTGTATATTTTTATTGCTTTAAGTCTGAACATTAATTCAGGTTTTAATTCTTTGGTACACTGTTTTTATTTGAGATACATTTCTAATTAAATAAGACTTTTATTTTGATGATCCAAAATCTTTTCAAGGACATACTAATAAAGAAGGAAGACCTAACAAATTCAATAGTAGGATACAGTGTTTCTAATCATGGCCTCCAGTCTCAGAACACCAATCATATTAAATTCCTCCTACTGCTTTGGGTTTCTTCTTCCATTTTTCTAACTCCACATGTTAACTGTTTTTGTTGCTGCCAGAGTAGAAGAATGCCACAGCAGCTACTTATTCTCTCTACCCAGCTCCTGGCCCTCTGGGAGGGTGACAACCTCTGCCTTTACCCCTGTCCAAAGTACAGAGTGACTCTGCCAGGCACTTTGGCTGGAAGGATATATAGATTATCATTCTTCATCCGTTTTGTTCTCAGTGGCAGTAAGGATAGCAGCTAGTCACAGAGAGGGGATTTTTAGGGTAAAAATCACTGACCCTGTGCTAAAACAATTTTTGTTAACTACCCGCTGAGACAGGGGTGATGTCTTACTGAAGTTAAGAAAGACATTATGTAAGAAGTGGGGTGGGGCTGGGGTCCTCGGTTACTTTTTTTGTAACTGAATTGAAGCATTAATTGGTAGTATATTCTGTGCCTTATCAGTTCTTTTTTCTTTATCAGGAAATAAACAGGCTTGTCCATTATGTCCTAAGGAAAAATTTAGAGCTTGTAATAGCCATAAGCTTCGTCGGCACCTTCAAAATTTACATTGGAAAGTGTCAGTTGAATTTGAAGGTTAGTATTTTTGTGCTTACTAAAAAGTGATGTAAATGAAATTCAAGATTTGATACCAGTTTGGGAATTTTATAGTGAACTTAATCAAGTGTTTTAAGTTTAAAAATTTGAGGGATTCAAACCCTTCTTTTAATGTGTTTATTAATAAAAGATCATGTTGCTCTCTAGGCAATAGCAATATATAACACAAGTAGTTTTGTTTGGCAAACATTTATTAAGCATCTGTTCTGTACTATGTACTCTGCGTGGCCCTGGGGGGTCCACATTTTGGACAGTGTCAAAAATGAAGAGTCTGTGTAGCGCAAATTAGCATAAGGCAGAAAAGATGAAGCCTAAGAAAAAGTCAAGTGGCAGAGAATAGATGACAGAATTGAGTTCTAAGGAAGCTAAGTGGCTAATCCAAGATAACACAGATAGTCTTGGCAGAACCAGAATTCACACTTGGATCACCCATATTTGTTTTTATACTGTACTATATATAACAAGTAAACTAAGGCTATCTTATTAAGTAAATTAATTAATGATATTACAAATACAAAAATAATCTGTTATTCTTACAAATTTGCCAATAATTTTGTGTAAATTGAATATTTAATGAACAGTGATATGACAACCATCCATCCTTCATTCTAGGTTACAGAATGTGCATCTGCCACTTACCTTGTCGACCAGTGAAACCAAATATTATTGGAGAACAGGTAATCAGATGTTAGATTTATTTTGAAATTTAGCCCTCTTTAAAGAACGTGCAATTTTTACTTGCTTTAACACTAAAATGTTTATATTCAGCAATGAGGTTAACTTTAAGATTTTGTATCTGAATGTTTTCAGATCATCATATTGGGAAAAATATAAAATGCATGAAAAAAAGGGTTGCTGTATTGAAATTTTTATAGTTTTAATTTCAGTCAGATATATTGCTGTCTTGTGTTCAAAAGGAAAATTATTTACTAATTTTAGAATGGAGAATTAAATAGAAAGTAATTTTTTTCTTTTAAAATAAATCTTGATTATAGAATAAGAGCCTTCAATTTCTGTGATTTAATAAATGCGTTGATTCATTCTCACCATTCTTCCTGTGCGCTTCCATTAATCTGCCAAAGGACAGAATAAGAAACTTCCTGAAATCTTTGATAACTTTTTTTAAAAGTACATATGTTCATTTTTAGAATAGATTTGACCTTTGGGGAATAAAAATTATAAAGTATTTTTGGTGATTCTATCCTGAATACATATTAGCTTATTATTATTATTAATTTTTCTTTTGGATCACTAAAAAGAGTAAAGTGCCGGAGAAAAAATAACATTTCTTTTTGTTTTGTTTTTTATTATTATTGTTGAAGTATTACAAAAAATCATTTCTTAAGCAGTAGTCAGGACAATGCTTGTCCATGAACATTATTCAAGATATTTTGAATATGATAATCACAGTACCATAGGAATCTTTTGCAATGTTCTTGAATATTCTCGACTTGCTATATGATTCCAAGTAAATAGGAGGTAGACACAGCAAAAGTAGGAGTGCCATTGGAGTAGTCTTTTGGTCCTCAGCTATGTGAGAAATTATAAAGTGAGAATTTTTTACTTGGAAAAATAGATGTTTCATTAATTTTCAGAAATCTTGAAAGCTGGTTACTAAATGTGGTCATCATTAAAAATTAAATTAGCCCTAGGCGGTTTGGCTCAGTGGATAGAGCGTCAGTCTGCAGGCTGAAGGGTCTAGGGTTCGATTTCGGTTAAGGGAACGATCCCCAGTAGAGGACGTGCAGGAGGCAGTTGATTAATGATTCTCTCACATTATTGATGTTTCTATCTCTCCCTCTCCCTCTCCCTTCCTCTCTGAAGTCAATAAAAACATATGTAAAAAAATTAAATTATATGAACTTAAAAGTGAATAAGTTATATTAAAAACAAAGGTAATGAATACTCAAAGCTCACTACTTCCTAATTATTTTACTGCATGTTTCTATTATCTATGCTCTTACAGTTATTTATATAATAGGATGGTGGCAATGCTGTCTTTTCCCAAATACATGTTCAGTGATGTCACATTGGTAACTTGAAATTTGTCACAATTGTAGCTTGAAATTAAAGAGTATATTTTCTTGATATTGTAGAGTATTTATACTACAGAAAGCTGAAAACTCTACGAATCAGAACTTTATTTTCCTGGTGAGACAGTTAAACATCTACCAGCACACTGCTACTAATATTATACCATCTGTAAGTGCTGCTTATAGAAAAGAGGAGACAGTTATTTGTTGATTAGAATGAATGGGAAAATCTTAGAAATTAAAGTTGTAGCCTATTGTAAAATTAAATTAAAAAGTATATGTCACATGGCAAAATTAATACTGTCTTCTATACCATTAAACCCAAGACACATACGTAAATTTACAACCTTGAATAAAGTTCTATTTCATTGTCTTAGTAACTTATTTATGTATTAAATTAAATACTCTGTTTGCTAGATATCCAGTAAAATGGGCGCCCATTATCATTGTATCATTTGTTCAGCAACAATCACCAGAAGGACTGATATGCTAGGACATGTTAGGCGCCATGTGAATAAAGGAGAGACTAAATCCAGGTATATTGCTGGTAAGTTGAGCAATCTTATTAACATGTTAGTAAGTAAATCGTTAAACAATGGTCCAATTATTCTTTTTAGACATCGATGAGATAATGATAGTGACTTAACTAAATCACTGAGCTGACTACTACACCCTTACTTCAGATTTCCTTTTTCTGTGAGCCTCCCAACAATGTTTTTCTGTCCTCAGTTAACATATATTTCACAAGTGGGTAGAAAAAGCAACCGATGCTCAAGTAAATACAGGTATCTTAATGAACGATTATAGGACTGTAATACTAATGATGGCTCCTGCACCAGTAATTGTGTTATACTTATTAAAACACACTAGAAAAAGTATGTAAAATGACATAACGACCGCTTATTATCCTGAGTGGTATCAAGTTATTAGTAGTTATTACTGAGGCAGCCCTTCTCAAGAATTAAGCCCTCATTGTCCTAAGGCCGTGGTCGGCAAACTGCGGCTCACGAGCCACATGCAGCTCTTTGGCCCCTTGAGTGTGGCTCTTCCTAAGCCTTAGGAGTACTCTAATTAAGTTAATAACAATGTACCTACCTATATAGTTTAAGTTTAAAAAATTTGGCTCTCAAAAGAAATTTCAATCGTCGTACTGTTGATATTTGGCTCTGTTGACTAAGGAGTTTGCTGACCACTGTCCTAAGGCATCCACTGTATGTAAAGAAGTAATGTCTATACATCCAGAATGGTATTATGTACCTTTCTTTTAAGAATTGAAAAAAAGTCACTAAAATAATTTTCCATAGCGCTTAATTTTCTCACAGACTCTGGTTTGAGAAAGGCTGACCTTGTGAGGTACATGATGCCACTTTGGTGGGTAGAGAAGATATATAACAACGCTGGGAGAGGGTGCTGTTATTTGGCATTGTAAAAAGAGAAGTATGGTTGCTAGTTAACATTCTGATTGTAATATAACCAAGAAATCAAAATATAGTCTGTTATTTTTCCCCACACATATTATATGTGTCTCATTTCTTAAATATGCAAAACATATACTTAAATACATCAGCTTTTCATTTGGGTTTATAGCTAAATTATTCAAATGTATAGCAAATGTAGAATTTTTTCCTTTACTTTATATCTGTTTTAATGTAATTTGTGATTTAAATCATAATTATGAGAAAGTTTTTCTGAAATCTAGCATGTTCAGAAAATACAATGATTCTTTCTCATGCTGGTTAATGAATGTAATCATATAAAGATACCACTTTTCTAACAATTATCCCACAATAACATCTTTAGCAGCCAACCCATGTAAATGTAATATAGTATTTGATGAGGAATAAAGGTATTTTAGGATTCAGTGCTATCTTAGGTTGATTGTTCTTTCTTTTGCTTTTTTTTGTTTGTTTTTAGGTTGATTGCTTTTAACTAGGTATCATTATTGATGGAGTAGGCAGTTATGATTTTGAGTTGATAAATTTTAATTCAGTAAATACTACTTTTTTACAGAGACAGTGCTGAGTACATCAGTTTTTAACTCAACTAATTACATTAACACATTATTAGAAAGGAAAGTTACTTTTTAAGTGTATGTTGTTTTAGATATTTAATAATATTTTGTATTTAACTAGAAATCTTTTTTTTATCTTAGCTTCTGCTGCTAAACCACCTACTGAAATTTTGAAAGAGGTAGACACAGATGTACAAGTTTGTCCTAATTATTCTGTACCTCAGAAAACAGATTCCTATTTTAATCCCAAAATGAAACTAAATCGGTAAGCTGAATTGAGAAAAGGGTTATGGGATGTTTCAAATCATTACAAATATACCCTCTCTTAATCTTTATGTTCCAATGCAGCGATTTTCATCTAGTATGCCGCAAGAAGCACACTGATGTGCCACAAGAATTTTAAAAACATGCAGTACCTGTTTAGTCAGGGACACTGACCTCTTTTCCCTTAGATTGTCAAATAAAAAAATGACAACAGCCTTTACAATAATAGCCATCCAGTGTGAATGAATCAAAATGACACTTTTATTTTTGTCCAATCAGCAAAAGATACTTTTTGGTTGTCTACAGAATTTTAATAAATAATATGTGTGTGCCATGAGTTGAAAATCGCTGTTCTAATGTGTTGAAATTTAAAACTAGGTACAGAATGAAAATCATCTATCTTACCATTTCTCAGAATGATTATTTTCTCTCTCTCTCTTTTTTTTTTTTTTTGCCAGACCAATTTCTTTCTCAGAGAGTAAAGTAGACCTAACTTCATAGAATTAATGAACAATGCTTTTGTGGGAAAATTTTGTTTATAAAACTTTTATTTATAAAATTTGCTTATAAAATCATTTTTTCATAGTGAATGTTTGCTAATAGAACCCAATTGATTCATAGTTTAATTTCACAAACTTCTAGTTCTCATACTGTTAAGTAGGGAATATGTTATTAGGCCTTTTTTTTTTTTCAAATAGGAATGCCACCACTATTATTAAATAAAATAAAAGCTATAATGGTGAAGCCATGGTAAAGTAAAGTCATTTCAGATTATTATACTTTCTTTTAGGCAGCTAATATTCTGTACTTTGGCTGCTCTGGCTGAGGAGCGAAAACCTTTGGAATGTCTGGATGCCTTTGGAGCCACTGGTCAGTAATGAAGCTGTTCTGGAATCCAGCTTAATTAGATTTGTACACTATCTTTTCTTAGAAAATGTATGTGATTATCATAGAATATTTTGATATAAAAAACTGAAGTTTGCCCTAGCAGTGGTTAGAGTGTCGGCGTGTGGACCGAAGGGTCCCAGGTTTGATTCTGGGCGATGGCACATATCTCGGTTTGATTACAGGCTCCACCTCGGCCTGAGCCCTGGTCTCTGTCACATCGATATTTCTGTCTTTCCCTCTCTCTTCCACTCTCTTTAAAAATCAATGGAAAATTATTCTCGGGTAAAGATTAAAAAATGATAATAATAAAATAAAAATAATAAAAAATTGAAGATCCAAGGTAAAATTTTTTTATTGTGGAAAAATTTCTAATATATAAAAAAGTGAAGGACATAATAAATGAATTCCTTTGTATCCATCACTTACTTCACAAATTATCAACTCACGCTCAGTCTTGTAACTATCCCATGCACTTATCTCAGACCTCATGTCCCCATCCTCCATCCCATTTTGAAACAAATCATAAATATCTCATTTCATCTGTAAACATTTGTTAGATCTGTAAAAGATAAAGACTTTTAAAAAATACAGCCATACCATTATCACACCTTAAAAAATTAAGAATAATTCTTTAAATGTTTAGATATGCCCAACTATCTTTTTTTTTAAATCAAATCAGAATCCAGACAAAGACTTTATTTCAGTTAATATGTCTCCTAATCATCAAGCTATATACCTATTGTGTATGTGTCTGAGATAATTACTTGAGTGGCAATCCTTGTCTTATTCCTGATCGTAGGGGAAAAACTTTCAACTTTTCACCGTAAGTATGATGTTAACTGTGGGCTTATCATATATGGCCTTTGAGGTACATTCCCTTTATCCTTGCTTTTTTGAGAATTTTATCATAAATCAATGTTGAATTTTGTCAGATGCCTTTTCTGCATCTATTAAGATACTCATATGATTTTTATCCTTCATCTGTTAGTATGTATCATATTGCCTGATTTTTGGATGTTGAACCAGCCTTGTATCACTGGAATAAATTCCACTTGATCATGGTGTTTGATCCTTTTAATGTATTGTTGAATTTAGTTGGCTAATATTTTGTTGAGAATTTTTGCAATATGTTCATCAGGAATATTGGCCGGTAATTTTCTTTTCTTGTGGCATACTGTACCTGATTTTGGTATGGGGGTATTGCTGGCCTCATAAAATAATTATTGATAGGCATTGCTTATTGCCATTTTGTTGTTTTCCAGTTGTTTTTGTAGTTCCTCTTTGTTCCTTTCATCATCTCTTGTTCTCTTCCCTTGTGGTTTGATGACTTTGCTTAGTGGCATGTTTATATTCCTTTTTCTTTATCTTTCATGTATTTACTCTAAGTTTTTGCTTTGTAGTTACCATAAAACTTTATCTGTAACAACCTGTTTTAAGTTGATAGCAACTTAAGTTTGATCCCATTATAAAATGCAACATTATTACTGTCCCCCAACCCACTTTTTGTTTTTGATCTCACATTTTACATTTTCATCATATATCTCCCTTAACTAATTATTATAATCATAGTTATTTTTACTACCTTTGTCTTTTAACCTTCATACTAGCTTTATAAGTAATTAGTTTCCTTTACTATATAATTACTTTTCCAGTGAGATTTAATCTTTCATGTGTGTTCCTGTTCCTAATTAGATATTTTATTTGAACTGGGATCATAGAAAAGTTTTGTAAGAAATACTAATGAAAATCTGTAAACTTTTTTTGTTTGATAACTTTTCTTCAGAGGCTTTGTAGTGAGAAAGTAGAAAAAGAATTACTTATGAAAATACTAAGATTTTGAAACAATTTATTTATAGAATTATATTCTATATTATTGTTATACAACTTTTTTTTTAATTGTTATAATTTAAAAACAGATTTTCTTTCCCATTTCTCCTAAGGGATAATGGGATTACAATGGGCAAAACATCTTGGAAATGCAGTCAAGGTGACCATTAATGACTTGAATGAAAACTCTGTGACCTTGATTCAGGAAAACTGCCATTTAAACAAATTGAAAGTGGTGGTGGACAGTAAGGAAAAAGAAGAGGGTGATGACATTCTTGAAGAAGGAGAGGAAAAGCTTGGTAATATTAAGGTGACCAAAATGGATGCCAATGTACTGATGCATTTGAGATCTTTTGATTTCATGTAAGTGAAAAAATTTGCTGTGTCACTTTCTAAACTGGTCTGGAATTTTTTTTGGGGGGGGGGGATATAAAAATTAAGACAGTTTGTTGTTGCTTTTTGTTTATTTCAGTTAATACAGTTTTGTTTTTAGCATTAGCCTAAGGAATGCAATAAGAACATTTTCCAGCACCTGAAATAAAATGCCTAGGCATGACAATTTTCCTTTAATCCTGATTTATTTTTATTTACCTAACATAGCATATGGTCAATTTTATTACTTTTAAAACAGAATTATGTATTTGAAATAGATTTGTAAAGTACTTATGAACACATGGAATTTTATTAGAAATAATGACAATCATATAAATTTTGTTACCAATATGATTTTAAATATGTCTATATTCTTTCTGATTTTAGACACCTAGACCCTTTTGGAACATCCGTGAACTATCTAGATTCTGCATTCAGAAATATAAGAAACCTTGGCATAGTATCAGTGACTTCTACAGATATCAGTTCTTTATATGCCAAGGCACAACATGTTGCCCGGCGACACTACGGCTGTAACATTGTCCGAACTGAATATTACAAAGAACTCGCAGCCAGAATTGTTGTAGCGGCAGTGGCAAGGTACAGAATTGCCAACAGTGTAACACCTAATGTTTGGGCATATGTTAAAAACAGATTCAAGAAGTGCTTCTCTCATTTTATAAATATGCACAAAATGCAAATTCTGTATTTCATACCTATAATCTTCCTTTGTTTTGTGATCTTATGTTGTATCTTTTAAAATTTGATTTAAAAGCTTGTGCTTAAAATAGTCAGTTTACTCTCCAATTAAAAATATTATGAAAGCAATTAATGTAGTAAGAAAGATAAAAATGAAAGTTAATTTTAAGTCAGTTATTTCAACAATGTAAGGTAGATGAGAGGATAGCATAATGAAAAGGGAAGGCAAAGATTGTTTTTAGATTGAGAAACAGTCATTGTTTTATGTTCATCTAATCTTTATTTAAATAAATAATTTGCAAAATGATGGCTTATAACCTGATTCTGCAGAATGATCTTGCCTACAAAAAAAGCTCTCTTTCTCATCTATATTTCTAAACATTTGAAGGAATATTTTTTTGAGCACCTCTCTTGTTCAGAATCTCTTATGCTATATAAATGGACATTGCAAATATATATAATGGATAATCAGCCAGCTCACTTACTGGCCTCAAAACTAATTTCACAGCATTTAGATTGAAATTCCTACCTCAGCATAAATAGATTATTAGACTTCATAGATGTTAAGTGTTATTCCTAATTGAAAACTCTGATGTTCAGTTTATACATGCCCATGACCTACTTAAAAATGTTTACACTAACAAATTCAAATTAATATATATGAACCAAATTCAGTGTGTAACTGCAGAGAGAAAACTAAGTACATAAATGCTGCATCAAGTAGAATTTAATCTAGAAGTGTGTAAAATTAATAGTAGCAAGGACTCTGCCTATTCACTTTTCCCTGAATATTTAGCAGCTGGCTTACTACCCTGCATATAGTTAGTATTCAGTATACATTGTTTGGAAGAAGCTTTTATAGAAAAAACAGATAAAAAGGCAGAAAGGTGGTGGTGATGACAACAAAGAAAGTGACATTGAAAACCAGAGCCTGTAGTCCTATTGGGAGGCTGTCATAAAGGAAAATGTCTAGTTACTGAAGACTCCAGCAAGCATCCTTTATTTCCTGTGTTTCATTTTGTATAAGAGTTATAGCAATTATCTTTTAAAAGTATGCTGCTAAGAATTGAATTTTTCTTATTTTCCCTTCACCTACCCATAGTTTACTGTCCACATTAGTATTGTAAATATAATGTCAAAGAAAAATGATAAGCACCCAAAATAACTTAAATTTTTTTTTTCCAGAGCTGCAGCTCGATGTAACAAAGGCATAGAAGTACTATTTGCAGTGGCTCTGGAACATTTTGTCTTGGTCGTTGTGAGAGTTTTGAGGGGGCCTACTTCTGCAGATGAAACAGCCAAGAAGATACAGTATCTGATACATTGTCAGTGGTGTGAAGAGAGAATTTTTCAGAAGGATGGTAATATGGTAGAAGGTAATTCAAGTTTCTTTTGACTGTATACTGTGTCTAATTTATTTTTAAAAAAATCTTTATTGTTGAAAGTATTACCTATTTTCCCTTTTTCCCCTAATTGACACAATAAATTGTGTCTAATTTATGTATAAGCCTCCAATAAATAAGCCTTTATCACATCCCTAATTATACATATTGTCCTTTGGTTTTAAAGATGACAGTGCTAACTTTATTTCCTATCCTGGACTTCCTTTCATCAACAGAAAAGGCATTTGTGTGAGTTTATTTACTGGTGCTATACAATTTATGCTCTCCAGCTCTGCCCTCCTCTGTTGAAACATCTAGAAATAACTTAGTTTCCACTGTCACTAATTTTAGGAACATAAGTTAGGATAAGCTCTCTGTTTCTGGCTGAATATAAAAGCCATCAGTTACAAAATTCATTCAATAAACATTTACTGAGACTCTACTATATGCCAGGCCTGGGAACCAAGGAAAATAATTTGACTTTTGCCCTTATAAAGGTGTTTCTATTTTTGCTTTTCCAGGATATAGAAACAGTTGCCCTAGGAAAAACAGTGACAGAGCCTTTAAGTAAATCTAAAATAAGATCTCACACTGTGTATTATGCCATTTAATTGCACTGAATAATATTGATATCAGATAGCGAGAAGCTAAAGACCAATATCCCTACCACCATAGCCTTGGGTTCTGGATATCTCTAAGACCGATTGATCAGATCCAGCCATTCCAAGCAAGTGCATGATCCACCTAGGAACAGCCTGGGCGAAATTTGTAGCAGAGAGTCTGATTTAAAATGACTATTCTGGACCTTAAGTGAACTGGAAAAGTTCATACTAGAATATTGCCCCATCTTGGAAACTACCTCCCCAATTTCCTTGTGATTCTATCGGGCCTTATTGCTCTTTAAACTGAATTAGATTCTTCTTGCTTACATTTTGGGGCTGATTATGAATCAGGTCTAGGGAACAGGGTAATTATTTTCTTCCCAATTGCAGAAGAGTTAATATGAGAAATGTCTTTATTTTGATGGGATGGCAGTTATATGGATATATATATATTTGTCAAAGTTCATTAATCTTTCCACATAAAATGTATACATTTTACTGCATGTGAATTTTACCCCAGTCACTGATTTTAAAATACAGATATCTTGTGGACTTTATAAGACCTTTTCCTATTTAATTTCATGTACTAACTAAAAGATCTCTAATCTGTTTGACATGGATTTCTATAATCTGTTTTAAGCTTTAATCCTCTGATCTGTATAATTGAGATTTTATAAAAATATTTAGCACAATATCTGGCACATAGTAGATTCTCAGTATATAGTAGCTGCAAATTATTATGAGTATAACAATTACTACTATGTATCTGTCATTTCTGCTTTGATTTCTTTTAATCTTTTCACAGAAAACCCGTATAGGCAGCTGCCCTGTAACTGTCATGGAAGCATGCCTGGAAAGACAGCAATAGAACTTGGACCTCTATGGTATGTGTGCCCAAGCATGATAATATATTCAGAATTGATTTATATATTGATTTTGTTTGTTGACTTTTGATGATGTGAGGTAAAAGACAAGCAAATTTTGATTGAATCTTTTAAAGTCTAAGCAAATAATTATGACTTCTCCCCCTATGAACCTGAGGTGTTTTCTGTTTTCAGATTTTTTCTATTCTATAACATTATTCCCCCACGTTTGTGACAGTGCTAAGAGGCAGCGGAATTAAAGAGAAGCCTGGCTGTTCTGCAAACTATAATTCATTTCTGAATAGTAAGAATTAGGCTTTTTTATTTTTATTTGATAATTATAGAACTCTAGGGTGTGGTTAAAAAGTGATCACAGTAACTTTTTAAAGAAGAGCCAACTAGCCGAAACCGGTTTGGCTCAGTGAATAGAGCGTCGGGGGGGTCCCAGGTTCGATTCTGGTCAAGGGCATGTACCTGGGTTGCGGGCACATCCCCAGTGGGAGATGTGCAGGAGGCAGCTGATCAATGTTTCTCTCTCATCGATGTTTCTAGCTCTCTATCTCTCTCCCTTCCTCTCTGTAAAAAATCAATAAAATATATTTTAAAAAAAAAAAGAAGAGCCAACTAATATAAAAAGTCTTTGAGGAATTAATTTTAAGAAGGGCAAATGCAAGTAAATGCCTTTTGTTTTTGGGTAAAGTTGTTTAGATGGGACGCAATTGCAAATTTTTAATGTATGTATGCTTTTGAACACAGAAATTCCTAACATTGTGACAAGAATCATTGCAGATATCTACCTCATTAATTTTCAAGGTCAAGGTTTAGCCACCTACTAAACTTAAAAATTAACACAAATGGTAAATGTTTGTGCTGATGCCCATTTTTAAATCTTTTTTCATGTCTAGTTAACTTTTTTGTTATTTTTTACTTTTTTATTTAATTTATTGGAGAGACATTGGTTAATAAATTATATAGGTTTCAGGTGTACAATCCTACATAATAAAAGCCTAATATGCTAAGTGTCCTGTCAGCCGGTAGGCCATTCAACCAACCAAGGCGTAATAAGCTTATGATAAGCTAAGGCTGCTCAACCGCTTGCTATGACATGCATTGACCACCAGGGCGTAGACAGTTGACCGGTCGACCAGTTGCTATGACGTGCACTGACCACCAGGGGCAGACACTCTGACTGGGAGGTTAGCTTGCTGCTGAGGTCTGGCTGATCGGGACTGAGCGAGATGGGCCAGACACGCTCTGGAGCCCTCCCGCAGTCCTTCCCTGGCTGGCCAACCTCCCATGTCCCTCCCAGGCTCGGATCGTGCACTGGAGGGGTCCCTCGGGCTGGCCTGCATCCTCTCGCAATCTGGGACCCCTCGGGGGATGTCGAAGAGCTGGTTTCAGCCCAATCCCGCAAGCCAGGCCTAGGGACCCCACTGGTGCACGAATTCGTGTACCGGGCCTCTAGTTCTATAATATATCATCTGTATGTTGTATTGTGTGTTCACCACCCCATCTTTATCCTATGTTAATACCCTTAGATTAAGAATGATCTAGCTAGTCTTACGTTCTGGTACTCTCTTTCCGATGTCATCTGCTACATGTTGATCCTACTCACTGACCTCAGAACTGGGGAAATGAATTATTAACAGCTGCTGGATCCAGAAGGAAGATCTAGCCCAAGTCCTTCATTTTATAGATGAGAAAATTACAACAAAGTGCTTTTAAGTGCTGGCTAAAACTGACCTCCAGAATTTGGCAGCTCAGGCAGGGCAAGAACTTGGGTTGTCTCACTCCCAGGATTGAGTTCCCATGCCTTATGATTTCCTCACTCAAAGCCATAGTCCTATCTTTACTCTCATCCAGAATCTCTTCCTCTTTCCCCACTTCTTTGAAGTCTCTCCTTAGTGCTTCAACCCAAATTACTTCTAAATTCCTTTTTAGTAAATCTTACATTGATCGCTCATTTAACACTTAAAATCATATAGCTTTCCACATGTATTCGCTAACCCTGGTAATAATAGCTACCATTCATTAAGGGTATACTTTGTTCTAGAGATTTTATGCATGCCATCTCATTTAATTCCATAAACACATGGAATATTTACTGTTACAGGAATATGCATTAAAACTTCTGCATTATATTACATCCCTGTCTAGATTTATAGGCTTAACATTGTATTTTATACTTTGGTGTATATTCCACACCTATATGTAACACAGGGTTATACACATTATGAGGGTTGATTTAACTGTGAATGAAATTTCCTTGAATAACACTAGTTTGGAGAACTAACATGATAAAAAGGAATGGAGAAATAGGAAATAAACAATTTTAAGTTAAATCATAAATTCTTTTTAATTTCAGTATTTAATCAATCACATAATTAATTATATATCTTATTAAGATAATAAACATTTCTCTCAAACCCAATTCTTTATATTTCCTTGGGATTTTTTGTTTCTTTTAGGTCAAGCTCCCTCTTCAATACTGGATTTCTCAAAAGAATGCTAATTGAATCTCTTCACCATGGTTTAGATGACATTCAGCCCCTAATAAAGACATTAATCTTTGAGTCAGAGTGTACTCCTCAAAGTCAGTTTTCAGTTCATTCACCTTCAAATCTCACCAAGCAAGGTAACCAATTTAACACTAGTTTACTAGCTTACAAATTACCAAAATACTCTATCTTTTTAAACTTTATTTGATGTTATAATCAAAAGCAGTTAAGTAGTGTGCTTTTAAATCCCCTCTGAGCCTGATCATAACCTGCTTAATTTTTATTTTTAATTGCATAGTTTTCTTCAGGTTTATATTCAGAACCTGGAATAGTGATTTTATTAAGATAAAAGTAGGGAGGGATAAGGCAAAAAAAAACAAAAAACAAACAAACAAAAAGATAAAAGTATGTATTTTTAAAATTTTAGTACATTAGAAGTACTAACTGTCTATTGTGATTTTATTACACTTATCTGCTTTCTAAAAAGAGAAACCCTAGGGAATTCTGAGAGGTGTAGCCATTGAGACACAGAAACTAAGATATACACTTATCACTCATTAAAACTACGGTTTTTTTTAATAGGCTTTTGTCGTTTTTATCTGGCCATTGACCTGAGGGTGGGCCTATTAGACATCCTAGCATTTCTCATAAGTCATTAGAAGCAGCAGTTGTAGAGGATTAAATATGTAATTCTTGCCCTGTTTTGCCATAGAATCTGTATATTCAGAAAAGCAGTGTGGATATAATTTAGAAATAAGCTTTTATTTAAACTTTGAATTGTTACTTGATAACATCCTGTAAAATATTTTGATTCCCATTTGTTTTTATTTTAGAAGAATGTGGTATATCTATTAAAACTACAGATGATACCACAACAGATAATTACATTGCACAAGGTATGTATGTGTATGTGTGTATGTGTATGTATCAGTGCAAAAATCAGACAGCAAAAGAGTAGGAAGAGATTTCTTTGGTAGCCTATTTCACAGTGCATTTTTTTTTTTTATTATACTGACAACCTAATTACAGTAAAACTTGTTTATCTGGCATTTACACAGTTCAAAATTTCTATGAACATGTACTGCACTCATAGTTCTAATATATAATGCATCCCTTTGAGAGAACTGTAATATCTTGAAAGAACAATGTGAACCAAAATAAGATCAAATTCTGTTTGATAGAATTGATTAAATTTTATTATTCTTATTCTTTTAAACTTTTTCATCACCATATGATGCATAACAATTCCATTGATTACCCAGAAGGTCTATTCTCTAGCCATAGGAATGTATTGTATGGTCTTTCTTATAATTTGGGATGTGAGCACACTTAATTTCTCTTTCAGAGGTAAGAAAAAGGCAGTGTGGTATACAGTAATGAGCATTAGATTTAAGAGAATCATTCTGCTCCTTTGTGTTATTTGTTATATAACCTTGGACAGGTTATTCATTGAAGACCTATTTATCAAATATTGGCATTCGGTAGGGAGTACAAGTATAAAAATGGAAGGGCATTATCCCCAGGATAATGTAATATAATCTGGGGGGGGAAAGATTTACACACAGAAAAGACCTACACACATGAAACAATCAAAGAAGATAGAACTTAAACTCTTAGTATTGATAGTAATGAAGTCTGTGAGGTGATTGGCCCAGAATTCAAATAGCTTTCTTCAGAAGATGAAAATAGAATTGAGGCTTGACATTCAAGAAGGTAGAAAGGAAGTTCTGACTCAGCAAATAGTTAAATACTAAAATTACATCAGTTAAGGATAGTGGAAATGAAAATATTTTATTCTTGCAATGAGTTCTCTTAAGAATTAAGACTGGATAGGTTGAAATGGTGTGTATCAGAGGATTTAGACTTGAGATAGCATAGAGTTATAAAAGTATTCGGTTTGTAATTTTTAAGAGAATGCTAACTTTGTGTGTGTGTATTTGTGTGTTTCAGGAAAAAGAAAATGTAATGAAACAATCACAAATTTAGCCAAGAAACAAAAGGCTGATGCCAGTACCGAACATCCTCCCTTTTATTACAACATCCACAGACACAGCATTAAAGGGATGAATATGCCAAAGTAAGATAGCCAGTCAATGGCAACGTGTATATTTTATAATTTAATGACACAATGGTTTAAATAAAATTATAACCTCATTTTTTTTTCCCTTTTCTTGCTGCAGGTTAAAAAAGTTTCTGTGCTATCTTTCTCAAGCAGGCTTTAGAGTAAGCCGAACTCATTTTGACCCAATGGGTGTTCGTACAGATGCACCTCTGATGCAGTTTAAATCTATCCTTTTAAAGTACAGCACCCCCACCTACACTGGAGGACAGTCAGAGGGCCATGTCCAATCTACATCAGAAGATACAGTAGCTGACAGGGTTGAAATGTCAGTGAATGACAAAGCAGAAGCAAGCAATTGCAGAAGATGGTAAAAGTAGAGAAGTGTTTATTCCCATACATCTTTATAGATCATCTGCCTAATACTTCTCCATACCAACTGTAGTTCTTTTTTTATTTTTTCAATTCAGTGGTGTAAAAATAAAAAAGTGCTGTTTTCATTTTAAAAGTAGCAGTTTCTAACTTAACTGGTTTGGGAGTTAGGCTTTCCAAGTTTTTCTTAAAGAAAACTTAGAATTGTAAGGAAAACATTTCATATGAAGCCAAGATTGACTGAGATCACCTACTATTTAATAACTCAGAAAATTCTCACATGCAAAGTGTTTGGAATTTTATGTATGTCACGTAAGTCACATCTCTGCTTAAATTGATGCTGAATAGAATAGGAAGAACAGTATCCTTTCAGGTCACTAATATATTTCACAATTACGAAGTTAAAATACATTCCTGATTTTAAGAATTCACACCTCTCCCATATTAATCCTTTAATTTTTAGTTTTTGAGAAATTAAATACTTGCCTGAGATAGAAACCCATTTTTTTCTAAGTTTCAGGTCTAGATGACTACACTTGAGAGTGATAGTTTGCCAAAGTAAATTGAGACGACTGTTCCAGTTATAATTGTTCACAAGCACTGACATTCTCGAGAGATTTTGTTATACACAAATTGGGTGATCTCAAGTGCCTCAGTTAATTCATAGAAATATTCATTCGCTTGGTTGTGCTACCTCAGATGTAAAACTTGCCCACTTACGAAGTGAGGATTTTTTGTTTTGGGGGTGGATTTTTTTTTTGGTTTGAATTTGTGGTGGGGGCGGGGGGTTGGTTGGTTTGGTTTGTGTGTATATGCTCATTTTTTGTATAAAGTAGACCAGGCTAACATAATTATGAAAATTAGTTGAAACAAAAATCTTGTTTCCATTAATAAATACTGTTCTTACAACATTTGAATGAGTTTCGATGAAAGGATTTAGTATAAACTTTGGATTTTTGTCTCAAGGATCTAATCCATATTTATCCTGAAGTATTTGTTAAAGGAAGTAACTTTTTTATAAGCATGAAGCTTGGGGGATGAAGGAGGAGAAATAACTGAAGGTTTTTAATACACTGCACTCCAGTGACATACACAAAAATCGAGGGAAAATCTTTGTTATTACAGCATAGTCCTGGAGGATTTTTTTCCCCTTCAATTAATGGAATCATACATTTTGGTAAAATAAAGGAATATGTGAAGTGCATTTGTTTCTATTATGACCATAATAAAACTATAATTCTTGCCAATTACAATTAAACTCACAAATGAGCACAAAAAGAAATGGTATTACTTTGTTTGTATAAAAATAAAAAATAAAAATAAAAATTACTATAAATCCAAAGGCAAATCAGTACTTGGACCATCTGACTTAGTGTATGTTGTTGAATATCAGTTTAAAATTTTGCTAAATGCTTAGCGTAACATTTTGATGAAGCTGAATTTTACGAGAGCCTAATTTGATATAAGATATGCAAATAACTTATTTAAAATACATATTTTTCTATATTAACTTCACTACTTGGTAGGAAGTACTTTGGAACTACATCAACCTAAAGAGGAAATCCTTTTAAATTCCATCTAATTCTACATTAGCACCTTGTTTGCATAACAATTTGGAACATAAAGGCAGCTGTATCACTCCTTTAAAATTTGGTAAACACAAGAAACTGGTTCTTACAGTGTGTTGGCTCTGCTAGTTGCTTATCGTAATACTCTAACCATAGACTCAGGAAATGGGAGAAGTAACCTGAAGGGTTTGGGTGCCACTGTGGTGGATTTTGGTTAAAACTTCGTTAATCACCGGAGAATATTTTGCAGAAATGAGACTAAGACCAGGTGTTCAATAATTGCAAAAAGTCTAGGGAGTTCTTTCCTTGGTGTAAAAATAACTGCTCTGGTAAATGGCCACAGGTTACTTTGGAGAAGGCTACGAATATACATAATACAAATAGCAGGGTCCTTTCTCAAAAGGCTCTGGAAATGTGAATTAAATCAGGCCTGGGAAATGGATAAGGGATCTTAACTTCTATAGTAGCTGTAGTGACCTGCAGTTTTCAGTTAGATAAATCAAATGGGATCTCTTTGGTCCTTTGGATCATATGATCAATTAGCCAAGGCCAAAAAGTCCTGTCAGACTATATTTTAGCTTTTCAGAGTGCTACTTCTCTTCTCACCAGAGCATTTCTCAATGATGATAAAGAGTCGTTCCAATCACATAAATCCTCTCCAACATTTCCCCTTCTAAGTCTTTATTTCCTTTCTCTATGATGTGTCGGAATTTTTGGCACCTCATCGCCCATTTAGATGAAGCACTGCTGAGTCAAAATTTCAACCAAGTAAACAGAACCACTCCCAGCTATTCAAGCTGATGTACTCTCTTGTGTAAGTGTACCCATACTGATAATTTGACCCAATTTTAAAATTATGTTTCTTACGTCAAGATCTAACATACGCGAAATCTATTTTCACAGGTATTCTCCATAAATTATCAGTATACAGGATCAAAAAAAAAGCACTCTTTCAGGAGGCACTTTGTACTTGTCCCCAGAACATGCTGGGATCTGAAGATGAGGGATTGTAGGGATAAAACAGATGGTGCTTTTTGCAAGGTAACTAACTCCTTGAAGGGGTCATCCACCAAAACAGAAAACATCCATTTTAAGTGAGGTTCATTGGAGTAAAGGATTTAGGATACAGATTCATCCATATCTTTACAAAATTCTTACTTCAGTTCTCAGAATGCCACACTCCAGACGAAATACCTTAATATCTTTAATTTTTGAGAATTTGCTTCATATAGAATCCTTGGTTCACTGCCTTTTCCTTTCAACACTTTCATTCATTACCTCCTGGCCTCCATGACTTCTCATGAGAATCCAGTTGTTAATCTTATCAAAGATCCCTTGTATGCAATGGGTCACTTTTCTCTTGCTATTTCCAAGAGTTTCTCTGTTATTTAGCATTTGTTGAACTTCTTAGATGTAGATTTTTACCAAATTTTGAAATTTGAAGCATTTCTTCAAATACATAAGGTGCCCCTTTACTTCCTCTCCTTCTGGGACTCCCATTATACATCTTAGTACACTTGATGGTGTCCCACTGGTCGCTCCCTTGTTCCTTTCTTCCTGTGTTCAAAGTTCAAATCTATTAGCACTTCTGTTGGATTTATTTCACTTATTGTATATTTCCAACCCAGTATTTTTATTTAGTTCTCTTAGTATAATTTCTCTCTATTGTTATTCTCTACTTGGTGAAAGACTGTTCTCAAATTAGTTATTTTAAAATGGCTTTAGTTCTTTGAACATATTTTTAAAAGCTGATTTAAATATTTTGTTTCATTAAGTCCAACATCTAGGCTTTCTCACACTTTCCTGTTTCTTTACATGACATGCAAATTTTTGTTGGAAACTAGATATTTGAAATATGACTGGGCAATGTTGGATAAAAGAATCCCTTCACATCCTTGGGATTTGTCGAGTTTGCTGTTTAATAATCTACCTGGACTAATTCTGCAAAGTGAGCATTCTTTGCTGTATATGAGCACTACATTCTGCTTTGTTAGCTTAAAGGTCAGCTAAAGGTTGGACAGAAAATTCATTAGGTGCCCTGAAACAGTTACTCTCCCAGCCTTGATGAAGTGCTCTGAGAATGTTTTCAAATATGCCTTCAACACTCCAACATGAAGCTTACACTGTGCCTTCACCTTCACTTCCTGCTTGAAGAGCCGCACGTTCTGCCACAGCTTCAACGGGTGCCTCCTTTTGTCCTTGGGTGTGAATGCAACCTTGCACATGCCTGTCGCCCTCTAGAGTCCCAAGAATATCTTGGAGCCTTTCCAAACCTTTACAGGTATGTCATCCCTCAGCTTTTCCTTGCTGTTTCTGTCAGCCTCTTTTTAGCACTGCCTCAAGGCAGCTGCCACATTAAACAATTGCAGCTGTTTCTGAAGATAGGGCTCTTTGCAGAGAGTGAGGGGTGTCAGGTCAAATAAAGACAAGCTCTGAGAATAGAGCTTTTCAGTGAGGCACCAAACAGGTCCAATCTAAATGGCTTAAGGGGGAGCTTCAACCCACTTCTCAGGCTACAAAACTGCTGGGTTTCACAGCTACCACAGTTACAAGGCTATCCATTTTCAGGTCTACCCTGGAACTGAGAAAATGGGTATAGGGCACTTTAAAATGCTACAAAACTTGTTAGTTTTTACTGACTAAATTAAGTTGATTTTGACAACTTTTATAGTTCTCATGCTTTTATGGAAGAGCAGGTTTTCATAATTTCCATAATTACATTAATTCAGAAGCACTTCAAGGAAGCCATTTTTATAGTTACAACAATTGCACACTAATATTCTTTTCTTATACTGTTTCTAGTATTTTAAAAAGCCAAGTATTTCTAAATAGAAATGTGATGGGGATTTTTTAAGACTCCTTTTCGCCCTAGCCGGGGTTTGCTTTGCGAGTTTTTTTAATCCTCACACCCAAGGATATTTTTCCATTGATTTTTAGAGAGAGTGCAAGAGGCAGGGCAAGACAGAAATATTGATGTGAGAGAAACACATTGATTGGTTGCCTCCTGCATGAGGGCCCTAGCTGGTTTTTCTCAATGGTTAGAGCATCAGCCTGTGGATTAAAGGGTCCCAGGTTCGATTCCAGTCAAGGCTATGTACCTCGGCTGCAGGCTCGATCCCTGGGGTGCGTGGGAGGCAACCAATCCATGTCTCTCTCACACCAATGTTTCCTCTTGTCTTTCCCCCTTCCCTTCCACTCGCTAAAAATCAATTGAAAAATAGCCTCTGCTGAGGATTAAAAAAAAAAAAGATTCCTTTTCTCATCTGGCATTTTAATTATTTTGTATTTAGTTATCCAAGTCAGAATCCTAAGCTTCAGTTTTCTCAAATGTACAAGGGAAATACTGTCTTCCTCATAGGGTTCAGAGGATTGAAATATGTAAAACTATTACAAAGCTATAGTAATGAAGACAGTATGGTACTGACACCATTGTAATAGCCTGGTTATTATTAACAGAAAAGAAATAAAGAGAAGACTAGATAATACAGACATGACATTTATACAGCTTAGCTAGAAAGCTGTAATTTAACACTCTCCAAGTCTATTCCCTGCTGACCATGGAGGAAGGGACTGGACAAAGGCAGTTTAGATGCATGCCCAATAAGGTCTGAGTGATTTGAAAGATGCTTACCTGCCAGTCACACCTGGGAACAAGTCAAAGGCCAGAATAGGGCACACAACCTGAATATTTAAACTCCTAGACACAGGAAGTTCACTCTCTTGAGACTCCTGTTGCATGGTGTGCACTCCCCTGCATTCGCCCACGAGGCCCACGGCCATGTGGACTTCACAAAATGGACTAAAGGACTTTAGCCTAATGCTGTATCGAACCAGCTCCACCATGGAACGGAAGCTCTGGACACTGGCCTTCCTTTATGTTCTGCTTGACCCCTACCTATACCTTTTTCAGGACTGGGTTAAAGAGGCATACGACTTTGCAACCGGAGAAATGTAAGTCCACACCAATAAGAATCTTAGAAATTTCATCTTCTCAAAATGTCGCAAGAGCCAACCCATACCCACAAGCAACAGGAAAATCTGGCCCACTTATTTCTCCAACAACAGTACTAGCAAAAGGACAGTCATATAGTCCAATGGAATATAGAGCCCAGAAGTAAACCCTCACATACAGTCAATTAACTTTTGAGTAGACTGCCAAAGCAATTCAATGGAGAAAGGGCAGTCTTTTCAACAAATGCAAACAAAATTGAATCCTTACCTTTCACCATATACAAAACTCAAAATGGATAAAAAATCTAAATGTAAAAGCTAAAACTATAAAACTCTTAGAAGAAAACACAGGAAAATCTTCATGACATTGGATTTGGCGATGTCTTGGATATGACACCAAAACCACAGGCAACAATAACAAAGGCAAATTGAATTTCACCAAAATTTAAAACTTTTGTCCATCAATGGACACTATCAAGAAAGTGTAAAGACAACCCACAGAATAAGAAGCTAGATGCAAATCATGTATCAGATCATTAATATTCAAAATATATAAAGAACTCCTACAACAACAAAAACAAAATAATTAAAAATGGGCAAAAGACTTGGATAAATACTGCTCCATAGAAGATATACAAATTGCCAATAAGCACATGAAAAGATGCTTAGCATCACAAGCCAGTAGAGAAAGGCAAATCAAAACCACAATAAGATAACACTTCATGTCCATTAGTGTAGCTATCAAAGACAAAAACAAGTGGTGAGGATGTGTAGCTATTAGAATCCTTGCTGTACTTTGCTGTTGGAAATGTAAAATACTATGGCCACTCTGTAAAAGTTTCGGACTCCTAAAAGTAAACACGGAATTATCATACAATCCAGCAACTTCACTCCTATATACCCCAAAGATTTGAAAGCAGAAACCTGAACAGATACGTACACAAAATATTCATAGCAGCATTATTCACAACAGCAAAAAATGTCCATCAACCTAGGTGTCCATCAACAGATGAACAAAATGTTTATATACATAAAATGGAATATTATTCAGCCAAAAAAGGAATGAAATTCTGATACATGTTACAACATGGATGACACTTCATAATATATGAAATAAAACAGACACAAAGAATAAATATTTTGAGTCCATTTACATAAGGTGACTAAAATAGTCAAATTCAAAGAGAGAAAGTAGAACAGAGGTTACCAGGGGCTAGAGTGGGGGGAGGAAATGGGAGTTAATGTTGAATGGGTACAGAGTTTGTTTGGGATGATAAAAAAAAGTTCAGGAAATAGTGGTGATGGTTACATGATACTGTGAATGTACTTAATGCCACTAAACTGTATATTTAAAAAATTAAAATGGTAAATTTGGTTATATGTATTTTACCATAGTAAATTTTTAAATGATAATGTATCCAAAGGCCTGACCACATTTGATGAGCCTTTTGTTCCTCAACACAGATGGTGGTTACAGAATTTATTTAGATAATACTTTATAAAATCTCGGTTGGTAGTAATGATAAACAGTACCTACCCCCAAAACACAAACACACACACACACATACAACACTGCACTCAATACTCTTATCAAATACCTATAATATCTATCAAATAACTATAACTATATTTTGCAAAAGACTACAGATCTGAATGAATTCACTAATGATGCAGAATTTACATCCACCCCCAAACTGGCAAATATAAACACATACATTTTCTAAGCACAAAGCTTATATTCACAAATAACTTTTTGCTTAAAGACAAAATTTCAATTAATAATCACAATGAGAATTTAGTTATTTAATGCAACCACTAATCTAATGTCACCAATAAAATCTAAACAGTTATATCACAAAACCAGGGTTATATTGAGTGGGCATGCACTGATAGTCTATACAATGTAACATTACAACAGAAAAAGTAATTGAATACAAAAGTTCCCGTGACTTTTCATGGTTTTCAAATTTCATGGCACAGTTTACCAAAAAAACTATAAAAACAGATTTTAAGTATTTTCAGTAAAATGGTAAAAAATTGAATAAGCCTTTACATTTTAATATTGGATTGAAGATTTAAAACCTCAAGCTGGCCCCAAAATGTCAAAAATGACAGATAAACAGTTCTAAGATCTAGATAAGACTTTAGTTATGGTTCTGTTTCCTCCCTGGCAAAAACCCTGTAGGGTCCATTTCTCAATGCAAACATGTCTTTGTAAATACTGTGATAATACAAACTTGAAAACATACCTGAAATCAGAACAGGGATGAAAAATAACACATAATCCCATCTTATTTCTGACCTGCCATCATAAAGCCTTCTGGGTCCAAACGCTGAACACTGTCCCTCAATATAAAACTAAATTAAGAAGACAATAACTTTTACTCTCCTGGCTGACATCCTTCTACAGAATTATCTTTTACTACATATCAAGGCAGGTCTAAGCTCTGTTAACTTGCTTCTCTAGAGTGTAATTAGCAAAGCACCAAATTTATAAACTGATATATGGCAACCCAAAATACTAAACACATTTTTCAAACAGAAGCAAACATTTTTCCCCATATCGTTAGTTCATATGCCATGTTATTAACTTACATAGCTATCAACACAGAAAAAATTGGGGAAGCTTTGAACATATCTTGTACTTTTCATCGAGGCTAAAGTGCAAAATATCTCCATATCTCTGATATTTTAATAGGAAAATCATCAAACATACATAATAAAGAAACTGCACTGACAGAACTAATACAAAAAAAAAGACCTCTTTAAATATATACCTGGAGACTACATAAGACCAATATAATATTTCTTTCTTCAGTGAAATCTGTAAATGAACCAAGTTCTCACTGAACTTGAGATTTTGTTTGATTCTTTCCCAGGATCAGAAATTCCAAAATTAGAGTAGGAGAGAAATGGAAAAAAATAACATTGCATGACAATGAACACTAAGTTCATAAAGAACCTTTCTGTAAAAAAAAGAAAAAGAGACAGAGAGAGATTATGGAAGAAAAGACCATGAAAATAATAATCCTATGAGAACTGATTTTTGAACACAGTAAATTTGAGCCTTGGTCTTCATGAAAATACTACAGCTTATACAGAAAACTATAAACATACAAGACTCCAGGGAAAAAGAAAAGTCAAAATACGTATTATTTCACATTCTGTAAGGCCTAAACTTTTGAGGGGAGGGAAAAAGATGGCCAACTGAATCTCAAGAATACAGAACCATGCCCTGGCCAGGTGGCTTAACTGGTTGGCGCATCATCCCATACACCAAAAGGTTACAGGTTCAATTCCCAGTCAGGGCACATATCTAGGTTGCAGCTTCGACCCTAGTCAGGGCACATACAAGAGGCAACCATCGATGTTTCTCACATTGATGTTTCTCTCTCTCTCCCTTCTTCTCTTTATAGAAATCAATAAAACATATTCTCAGGTGAGATTTAAAAAAAAACAGAGTCCAAAATTATGAAAATTCCTGGGTCAGAGTGCTCCAAATGAAACCATACTTTGTAAAGACATACTACTTAGATATATTTTTAAAAGGAAAGAAAGGTTCTGAATAACTGTAGTCCCTTCCAAAAAGGAAATCTTAAATTAAGGGGAAAAGATCCTAAGAGTATAAACAAGGCTGGCTCAGGAAGAAAGTTGAACAACATATCCAAGATACTGTCCATAAAAGTAATGATGATACATCTTTAATAATAAAGAAATAGGCTATAAAAAAAGTTCAATATCCAGATTGGTTTTAGTAAAAGCTCATTTGTGCTCCTTTGTGGGTGCATAATAAAGTTCCATGGGTTTGTTCACTTTCCAGTATTTCTCACTGACCAATTCCAAAGAAAAAGAGCCATTTAATACCTAAAACAATAAGAGAGAAAGAATTATGAAAACTGCTCAAAGCATAGTATTCCATCTCATTATTAAAAGTCCACCTTTAAAAAAAAAGCTTAGGATAAACTTGTCACTTATACTATTCATAAAACATATCAAAAAGTTAACTACCCTTGTTCTCTATCTCTCAGGGTGTCAGGATCCTGTCCTGCGCCATTTTATCAGGCCCCACCCCACCATTGGCCACTCTCAGATGGTTAATTCACTTCCAGTTTCTATGGCCTATTATTTTAAACTAGAGGCCCAATGCATGAAATTCGTGCAAGGGGCTCGGCCCCCGCCATAGCCTCTGCCTCAGCCCCTGCCGCTGCAGCTTCGTCTGGAAGGTCGTCTGGTCTAATTAGCATATTACACTTGTATTATTATAGAATACTCACAGTGAACTGCCCACTGGCTGTTGCTATGTAAATGGTATACTGCTTCTCACTGGCTGTATCAAGGTTCATCTGGTTTGATTCTCCTTTGCTTCGAAGTTCTTCTAAAGCTAACCTCACAGCCAGATACTTGGATAAGTGATCAACAGTGGCATTACCAGAAGTCTTTATGTATCTGGAAAAATAAATCATTAAAATTTCATTTCTTTTTTTTTTTTTTTAATATATTTTATTGATTTTTTTACAGAGAGGAAGGGAGAGAGATAGAGAGTTAGAAACATCGATGAGAGAGAAACATCGATCAGCTGCCTCCTGCACATCTCCCACTGGGGATGTGCCTGCAACCCAGGTACATGCCCTTGACCGGAATCGAACCTGGGACCTTTCAGTCCGCAGGTCGACGCTCTATCCACTGGAAAAATAAATCATTAGAAATTTCATTTCTAAATTAATAATGAAAATGTAATTAGATTACAGGACTAATACATTTCTATAAAATGTAAATGTCTCTATTATTGATAAAATAGTATCAGAAATTTAATCATCTATTATCTAAAAATTCCTTATTGAAAGCAGACTATCTACCAGGCCACAAAAGCATCCATAAAAATGTGATATAAAATGATAAAAATCCAACAAATATACACAGTACTGAGGAAAAAGAACATCTCAACCCAATGATCAAGTCCTGCTGTCTACAGCAGCAAGAATATGACCAATTGCTTATTGTTTAAAAAATTCATCAATTTTCTGATGTTTAAGACTGAGCATAAAAGTGCTAATCTTGCCCTAACTGGTTTGGCTCAGTGGATAGAGTGTCGGCTTGTGGACTGAAGGGTCCCAGGTTCGATTCCGATCAAGGGCATGTACCTTGGTTGCAGGCACATCCCCAGTAGGGGGTGTGCAGGAGGCAGCTGATCAATGTTTCTCTCTCATTGATGTTTCTGACTCTCTATACCTCCCTTCCTCTCTGTAAAAAATATATTTTTTAAAAAAAGTGCTAATCTTGGGTTGTTTTTTTTAAGTATGGTATACTCATCAATTACTCACTGAGCAAATATTTGATGTTTATCTGCACTCAATGGCAGGCAGAAAGCTGAGGTACAGTGTCATCCTCACCAGCAAGAATTCTGGTGTTTATTGGCACCCCAGTAGCATTGTTAAGAAATTTAAGTGACCTTTTTTTCTCCCTCCTCTAGGAAGGAGGGTCAGGTCATTCCTTTCAGATATCCAAGTGTAGATGGGAAGCATGGAGGAAGAAAACAACTACCTAGGCATCAAGAATATCCAAATGAACCCTGACAGTCAACGGGATGGCAAATATTGCCCTTCTTTCTTATGCAAAATTGCCTTTAACTCCCAATTACATTTCCTGAATTCAGATAATCTAAAACTAACCCGCACACTTACCTTGTCTGTGCACTGTCATCTTTTTCCATCAGTGTGGGATGAGGCCTGAACACTAACTCAATTTCACTAGCACCATCCATTACTGGATCAATTGCCACTGTTGCATTATTGTTATCAAGCTCAAGCCCAGAATCATCAGATGTTTTGGTCCGTTTGTTACTAGGCCCTGCTTCCTGATTGCTGTGTGTGGACGCATTACTACAGTGGGAACTGTCACCATTGTCTTCTGCTCCACTGCCATTTTCAATCTGTTGTTTCTTGCCTCGCTGTAGTCTAGTTAAGAAACAAAAAGGCATTGCAGAAAATGTACTTAGGCATTTTTAATGAACCCCTTTGAAGCATGTTTACAGAACTTTAGAATTCTAGAAAATTCTAGAAAAGCCCAGTAGGGGGCGTGCAGGAGGCAGCCAACAGATGTTTCTCTTCTATCTTTCCCTAGTCCCTCTCCCTTCCCCCCCCCCCTCTAAAAAGAAAGGGAGAGAGAAAGAAATTTTTTTAAAAAAGAATTGTGTAACTTTTAAAATAAATACATTCAAAATTTAGTACTTTATAACTATATATGATGAAAGGTGGGTGGGAACTAGAAATATTGGAGGAGGGACACTTTGTGAAGTTTATTATTATCTAAACAATATGCTGTATTCCTGAAACTAATAATGAAATAATATTGAATATAAACAGTGATTTAAATTTTTTAAAAAATTATAATACTTTATTTTGCTTTACTAAATACAATTTCAGGTGAGTTTAATGGAGTTTAACCTCTAAGCCAGTGGTTAAAAGTTGCACTTTTTTTTATAAAAAAATTTTTTTAATTGATTTCAGAAGAAGGAAGAGATAGAAACATCAATGATGAGTGAGAATCATCCATTGGCTGCCTCCTACATGCCCCCTAGTGGGGATCGAGCCAGCAACCAAGGCATGTGCCCTGACTGGGACTCCAACAGTTACCTCCTGGTTCATGGGTCAAGGCTCAACCACTGAGCAACACTAGCCAGACTAAAGGTTGTACTTTAAAACCACTCCTGAAACCTTAAGTAGTGATGCCTGAGTCCAATCAAAGATTCTGATTTAGTTGGTCTGAGGTGTTACCTGAAGCCCTAGGATTTAAAAACTTTCCAAGTGACTCTGAAGTTCAGCCAAGATGAGAACTAGACATGGATGGGACTCTACTGGCATCTCCTACTTTGGAAAATGATGAGGCCTGAATATATTAGATGTCAGAGAGAAAAAGAGAATGGGAGTGAGAAGGTGCCCAAATTATGTAGGGTTTTAGAAGCCAAGGTCTTTTAATCTGAATGTTAATAGAAGTTATTAGAGACCTCAAAGCAAAGGAGAATCATGATTTGACTTTCAATTTAACAGAATCACTCTGGCTGCTGTGCTGAGAATAGATTATGTGGGGGTAAGCATGGAAAGTATATAGACCACTCATGAGGATTTTTCAGTACTTCAAATGAAAGATAATGGTGGAATGATGGAGTTGCCATCAACTGAAATGAGCAAGAATGAAGAAAAATAGGGGGTAAGAACAAAAAAGTTCAGTACATGTCTATACATGGTAAGTTTCAGATAAGAAATAGCTAATAAAATACAAAGGGAACCAGGAAAATATGGTCTCCTGAAAGCCGGGAGAAGAAAATTATTCAGAGAAATTAATTTGTAAAATGCTACTAAAGTAAGATGGGGTCTGAGAATCAGCAATTAGATTTCACAATGTTGACACCACTGGTAACTTTTGATAAGAGTGATACAAGGGATTAAAGTCTGACTAGAGGGTTCAAAAAGAAATGGAAGAAGTAGAGATAGTGAGCACGGACAACTCTTTTAAGAAGTATTGCTATAAAAAGAAGATAAATAGAACAGTAGGTAAGTGGAGGGAGAAGTGGGTATAAAAGGGTATTCAAAAGTTCTAGTGTTTTAAATGGAAACCCAGGCATATAAGATACCTGGAGGCATATACCACACTTGCATGAAAATGTAATCTTGCAGAACTACTATTTATTACTTTTTGTATTTTGTCTTTTTCAAAATGAAGGCTGTTAATAAATTCAATATTTAATAAAGTACTCAGGAAAATGGCCACCTTCTTCCCCATATACCTGTTCATGGCCTGTATCTTCAGTCCTTCCTCAATGCTGTGACTGAGTGCTTGCTGATTATTGTGCTTATTAATTCTGGCTAATACTCTCTCTTGATGAGCTTCGTACTCATCACGACTTGGATAAATTTTGCTGATGAGTGCATCAAAGTTCGGGTCTGGCCTTAGTGATCTTTTGGAAACTAGCTTTTTCCGACATGTAGGACATTCTTTATTGCTAAATAAAAAGAGAGGAAAAACAATGTAAACAATGCCAGTACCTTTAGGCTAAAGACAAAAATATCTAGCTTCTGGAATAGTTACATTATCTTTATTCTAATATCTTTAAGAAGTCACAGAAATTTAAACTGATTAACTTAAACTTTATTAAAAATCTGACTAATCTTGGGTAAGCAAGATTTTTGAAAACCTCAGATACTCTATACTACTGTTCAAAGGAAAAATTTGATTATCCCCAATATGATTTATAGCCACTTTTAGAAATAGAAATCAACTCTTTTCCTAATATTAATTTCCCCTTTCTCATTCCCATGACATACAAGCAAAAAATAATCACCTATATTAATTTATGTTATCAATTCTTTTATTAAAACAATTCATAAGGATATCATTTTGTATACTTAAATAGAAAAACCATGGCTTCATCATTTCCTCAAAACAAATAGGCATCCTATAAAGCTTCTGAAAATGTATAAAATTAATTGTTTCAAAACAAAGATACTCCAATAATTCAAACCTAGACTTTAGAAAAATTTCCAATTCTCAAATGAATACTTCTAGAGTATGTACTTCTCAAAACCCATAGAGCACTGTCTTGGTACAGCTGAAGTACCTAGTATAACTCATTTCAACATACCCACTTCTGAGGGCTGTGATAATGCAGTCTGCACAAAAACGGTGCAAACACTCCTTTGTAGTCATGGTGTTCTTCAACATATCCAAACAAATTGGGCACATTAATTCACTGTGTAGACTTCGAGGTGAAACCACAATTTCCAAGCCATCCGTTATTGCCTCCTGTAAAAGAGGGAATTTAAAATTTAAATGCTACCTATATTTTTATTGTGAATAAGTTCAAATACACAAAAGTATTAAGAATGACAAAAATGAACATCTACATACATATCACCCAGCCACTACCACTGTCAGCTCACAGCCAATCTTGTTTCGGCTATAATGTCCCCCAATTCCTTTCACTGCCCCCACCAATGTGTTATATATAAATGCTTTTATTTTAATGCTAAAGATAATATATTAATGTATCTAAAAGATAACTAGGAGTAAATTATCCTGGTGTAATAAAAAAAAAGCACTGAATTAGGAATCAGATACCTTAGGTTTTAGTTCTAGCCATATTAACCAGCTATGTGGTTCTAAATAACTATTTGACATCGTTCTTTACCCTGCAAAATGAGCAAGTTTCTTCTGTCTTCAGAATTACACAATTTTGATAATATAGTTCCCCCCTTTTTTTTTTATCAGTGGCTTCACTTTCTGAGGTTTCAGTTACCTATGGTCAACCACAGTCCGAAAATATTAAATGGAATATTCCAAAAATAAACAACTCAGAAGTTTTAAATTGTGCACTGTTTGAGTAATGTGATGAAACCCTATGCTGTCCTGCTCCATCCCACTTGGGAGGTGAATCAGCCCTTTGTCCAGCATATCCCCACTGTATACACAAGCTACCCTTATGTTGGCGACAGGAGCCTTCTCAGTTATCAGATCAACTGTCTCAATATCTTGAGCTGTGTTCAAGTAACCTTTATTTTACTTCCTAATGGGCCCAAAGCACAAGAGTAGTGATGCTGGCAATTTAGATATGACAGAGAGAAGCCATAAAGTGCTTTCTTTAAATAAAAAGGTGAAAGTTCTCAATAAGGATAGACAATATCATATTCTGAGGTTACTAAGATCTATAGTAAGAAGGAATCTTCTAGCCATGAAATTGGCTAAGTTATAAACTAAACTTTACCCTAGGTATGTTTGTATAGGAAAAAAACATGGTATTTAGTGTTTAGTACCATCTGTGGTTTCAGGCATGCACTAGGTGTCTGAGAATGTAATCCCGTGGATAAGAGGGGACTACTCTAAGTTAAACATTTCATGCCATCTATTAAAAAGATTTTAAGATTCCAATACAAATATTCTCTAATTGATACACAATTTAACTATTTCATTTTAAAATCACTTTTTTGGAACTTAAAAAGTCTTGATCCACAAAAGCAATTTTACATAAAGTGGTCAGGTTCTCAGGCTAACTGATTTAAACCATAGTATATCTGAAGTATTTTTATTTGTCATGTCTAAAAAAATGTGATAAAATGCATTTGGAGTTCCAATGTACACATCTCCCAGCTGCAGAGAGACTAGTGACTCCTACTTCTTCCTACCACTATCCACTCTTCCTACAAGGTGCATTGAGAACAAATTACCTAGCTCAAAAGCCACCAATATGGCCCCTATGGAATAAGAAAAGAGATTCGGTAACTACTGGAAAGGAAGATGCAAGTAAAAATAAGGAGCTTCCCATGTTAGTGACACTCCCTTGTTTCCACTGCCTCTCCATAGTACTTGCTTTCTCTAAAGGGTCAAAGACTGGTGACCCCACAAGGAAAGACAGAAATAATAGGTACTGTCCATAAAGAACGCAAATAAAATATATTTACATTTACAATAACTATCACTATGATCAAGTGTCTGCATGTTTCAGCCTCGCTATATAAAGCACTTTCTATATTTTATTTTACTTAGTTTTAATACATACACAAACTTCTGATTTAGGAATTATAACCTCTGATGGGGAAATAATCAAAGAGAATGATGATGACTCAGCTAGTTAGTCTGTCCTGTTTAGAAAGAACTTGCCCAACAAAATCCCAACCCTGTTCTCCAGGCCTGTACCTGTGCAGATAGAGCAGCACTGTGGGGATAAGACGGGGGGAATCTCACAACCAGACGGGTATCACTAAAACTTTCACCAGACTCAAATGGGTGTTCAATACTGCTCAGTAATTGGTTTCTCTAACAAACTCATTTTTCCTTTCACTACACTATTGTACACCTTTTCTTCTATCTGCAGACCTTCTCCACCTGAACATTCAATGCATTACCTTACCTCAAATTTCATAATCATCTTCTTTCCTATAAGGAGGAAGTACACCTCTTCCTACTGAAAATACATTCCTTCCTATGTTATCAAGTGTATTACTCGTTTGACTATTCTATCTGCTCTCAGATTTTAGCCAACTTTCCTCCACTAAATCAGCCCAGAGTAGTATCTCCATAGAGCTGCTGCACAGAGAAACGTGCATGATGCACCTTAGAGCTGTCAAGGGTGGAGAGGTGGGGAGGAGAGGGGAATGTTGAACAAGGGAAGTGGAAGGAGTCTACATAGCTCTTTCTCTTTACAAACAAAACGAAATTTAAAACTTCCCAATTCTATGTCCCCCTCCAGTGTTTGCTCCATTTCTCTGCTCCACTGCAGAGCCAAACTTTTCTGAAGAATTGCCTATGCATTTTCACTTTTTTTTTCCCCCTTCGACATAGCAGCACAATCTATCAAGTGAATCTCTTGAAAAAATCACCAAGTACATACTGCCAAATCTAATGTACACTTTTGTAATGCTCATCTTATTCATCTTCTGAATACTGTTGAAAACAATAACTGAATCCTCCTCCTTAAAACACTTCCTCATAGATTTTGTCCCCTCTCTCTCGCTCTTCCTTGCTTTTCCCTGTCTCCTTTGCTGGCTCCTTGTCCATTACTTAATCTCTAAATGTTGAAGCTCCTCTGGATGAAGATCCGGGCCCTCTCCTCCTCTCTTTCTAGACGATCTTATCTATTCACCATGCTGTAAATGTGCTGACAGTCTCTAAAACTTAACATTTAGTCCAGTTCTCTAGTTAGCATCACTGCCTGTCTTATAGGCATCACCAACTTAAAATGAGATCAGTTGTAAGTATGCTTATCTCCTTCAACCCTGCTTCCACCCCCAGTCTTCCCCATCTTTACCTTCTGAAAATAGTCTTCCCTACTTCCCCCAGTTATTATTTATTACAGCACTGAGGACTTTTCCTTTACCCAATCTCTCAAGGTATAATTCTATGGATGTTTATCTGTTTAATGTCTATAAATTCTAAGAGCTGGTGCTACATGTTTTATTCACCATTTCACCTAGTGCCTAGCTTAGGACCTGTAGAATATGCACTCAAATTATTTGTTGAATGAATGAATGAAGTGTCAACCAAATATACACAAGTCAGTACTACTTGTATATCAATTTATTATTACTGTTATGTTCTTTCAAGTTTTCATTTTCTAAAAATGTATCCCAATTTACATATGTATCATATTTCCCCTGTTATCTTAGTCTACATTACCTGAGGTGTTCGTTGTAATTCATATAAACTGAGTTCCCATGTTTTGCTTAATGGTTGAGTTCCATTTGTCTGCACAGCCTGAGACATTGCTAGGGATAAAAAAGAAAGAAAAAACAATTTTAGTATCTGAAAGGGAAATAAATCTCAAAAGTGATTTTTAGGAATTGTAAATCCTGAGGATAATAAAAATAAAAATTATACACTGGCTCCTCAAAAATTTTTTTTAAAAAAAGCCCAAGAATCTCTCCATTTATAATACAAACTACCAGAAAGCAAGAGAGACTAACTGATCTCTGAATGTCCAAAATAATTAAACACACAGAAAGTACTTAATTATTACTGAAGGTATACAAAACAGTCTTAACCAAAACAATATTTTTAAAGAAAGTCATGGTCATGGGACTTAGAACTAAATCAGGAAAATTTGAGACTCTACAGCATGGCCTCTAGTCCAACTTTTGTCAAAGATACAAAAGCTGCTTTCTAGCACTTGAAGCCACTGGTCACTCTATTCTTAAGTTCTGCCCTCAGGAAAAACTGGTTAACCAGAACCTAACCTGCCAGAGTATTATCCAGAACCTCACTGACCTGGGGAAGGAAAATACACAACTCTTGCGCATTCTAGCCATCCTATCCCCACCTATTGGGGAGACGGGGAGGGAAAAAACTAAGAACCAAAAATTGACAGCATTATTTGTAATATCAAAAAAAAAGGCTATGCATGCCTGTCAATAAGAATATGGCTAATATATATATTATATATTAATAATATATAATATATATATCACAGAATACTATATAAGCTGTATGTCTGACATGGAGTTCAGCAGATGTACACAACAAACATTAAGTTTTTTTAAAAAGCTAGTTATAGAGCAAAATGTTTATCATGCCTGTTTTAGAAATTAAAACAGAATCCAAACACCTAAAGATGCTTGTGATTCTGAGTTCTGTTCACCATCTGTCAGCCACATCTGTCATTCTTCTCTTTATCAATCTTGCTCATTTTCATTTTACAACCTTCACTAGCTCATCCTTCTATCTGTAACAGAAGGCTCTTTTCCCCAAAGATTTCCCCATAGCTAGCTCCTTCATGAAGTCTAACAAAATTCTTACTTTGCCATTCTTTCATGTCTTCCTTCCCCCCGCCCCCCCTTACCCTCCCACTATGGCACTTTTATCTATCTTATTCTCCACAATATCCCCATTACCTTGCACTGTGCCTGGCACACAACAGCTATTTAAAACAATACTTTTTTAAAAAGTCATGGTCATGGAACTTAGAACTAAATCAGGAAAATTTCAGACTCTACAGCATGGCCTCTAGTCCAACTTTTGTCAAAGATACAAAAGCTGCTTTCTAGCACTTTAAGCCACTGGTCACTATGTTCTTAAGCTCTGCCCTCAGGAAAAACTGGTTAACCAGAACCTAACCTGCCAGGGTATTTATTGCTGAAGAACTCAACAACGGTTATGATTGAAAGAAAGGAGCTCAAGTTAGACAATCGTAACAGTGTTTGACCTGTTCATGACTAAAACAGTGTCACTTCAAATTATCATGGGAAAGGGAAGACAAAAGGAAGACTTATCAGTTTCTATGCATAAAGTATTTTTGTGTTTCTGCATGGTTAGGGCCCGAAGCAAAACAACAACAGACACAGAAAAACACTTGTCCTTCAGACAAGTCTTAAAACACAAAGGTAACTGAATAGATAAGAGATTTATCTTTCTAGACATATGCGTTTATATTTCAGGAGGGATGAGAGTATGGAGACATTCCAGGGGCCTTAAAGTTTAAGACCTCTCTGATATCCACCCCCGCCCAGAAAAGTTCATTTACATGCTAAAGATTGCATCCTCCTTTTCAACTAAGGAGAATTTGTTTCCATTAGGGAGCAAGGATTTCTCTCCCTTCCTCAGGAGGTGAGGTAACAACTACACAAGCTCCCAGATTCATATTTTTAGGTTCTTCGCCTACAAAAATGAACATCTAGCTCTTACTGCATAGATTTCGGAGTGATGGGGGATGGGGAGAAGAACTCAGGCAAAGGGGAACTGATGCAGTTATTGCTGTAATAATAATCTATCCATCCTTGTCCCTGAAATTTTGTGTCTAATTCCAGGATAATATGAATAAATATAGCTTTTAAATATTTATCATTCTACCATACAGAATTTGGTTCCTAAAACTACCCTATAATTTAGGCTTTAAGAAGACTAACAATTTTTTTTGAAAATGAATACTGTATAGAAATTATATTCAGGACAAAAGTACACTAAGTTCCCACATACCATCTTTGGAGGGATTAAGATAATACATATAGGCCAGGCACACTGTTCTCTGATCATCAAGAATATTGGGGTAAAGTGTAGAGAACCCTATATGGCCTTTATCCTTTGGTCAGACTAGGCAAACTAGGGAACAAAGATAAATTCTGAGTAAGCAATTCAACTGCCATCGTAGCATTGCCTGCAGCATCACCTCATGAAAACCACTTGCAGCAGTTTGTAATCTAAAGTGACAACTGTAAGACAGACACTAATTTCTGTAAGCATCTAAAGACAAAGTGTCCTTTATTGAAAGTTGTCATTGTACTAAACAACTGGAATATTCATCTAAATTATTTTTGCTAACCTAATAGCTTCTTTATTTAAAAAGATAATATAATCAACTCCTAATTGGATTGTATTTTTTTCCACATCATGGAACACAGAGCAGAAAGATTTCAAAGGTGAATTACAGAGCTTCATTATCCAGTCTTAATTAAGTTTTTGAGTACTGGTAACAGACTTAATGTTTTTTAACCTCTATATAATTAAGTTATTGTTACAGGAAGAATAAATGTTCTAAGATTTTTTAAAGTACCACTTAAAATGCAGACCTAGATAATCTAGATCATCTGTGCCCTCTTATAATATTTCTCATCACTCATCACTATTTCATTCTAACACTACTCCTTCAACCCCTGTTCCACAACGCAGACACTTTCTTAATGGCCCAATACAGTCTTTTCCCAAAGCTTCAGATACGCCTCTCAAGGTCTAATATTAGGCAACATCAGTTATATCAGCAGCAGCCTTGTTTTCCTTCTGTCCCTGTCTACCCATATTAGAAGCTAACAGACTCACAATGACAACCAATTGAGTAGGAAACATTTATTGAGAGCTACTATGTGATAGGAAATGAGATCCTCCAGGAGTTTATTGGCTAGTGGGCCCTGAACCATGTTTTCCATGCAATTTGTAAATGCTACAAAAGCACAAAGAAGTAGTCACATGGAGGAGCAGAAATCAGAAAAGGGCTTTCTAGAGAAAGAGACTCCTCCCTTGGAAGAGGAGAGTTTAAGGTTAAGTGTAAGTTAACCAACTAAGGAAAGGCAAGCAGTCCAGAAGGACCAACATAATAAGCAAAGGCACAATTCAATATGGGGTGTTTATGAAACTCCAAGTAGTTCACTACTAAATGAGTGAAATGTGAGAAGCTGAAATAAGTGAAGCCATTTAAAAATGGAGCCAGAGAAGCCATTCCAGAGGAAGTACTTTGTATGCCTTGGGCCTTGAACCTTTGGAATATTTGAACTGGGCAAAAGAAGCTTTGGACTGGGCAAAACCAACAATGTATTACAAACAACCATTTGCAAAGCCAACAGAAAAGCAGACATTCTGAACACAAAAACTGATGATTATGGATTCTTTTTGAAGACAGAATCAGTTACCAGCCATGTATAGCTAAAATATTAACTCAGTTTGTTGGCACCAATAGAAATTTCTTTCTTCTATTCATGTAATTATTCCCTCCTTTTCTAATAAAAACCCCTTGTGCTCACCCTGTAATAAGGACATTTTTTAGGTCTCTGCCTGAATCAGTATTTCCAGAATTGCAATTCTTTTGACCCCAAATAAACACTTGTTTTTAGCTTAACAGAAAAGAGGGAGGTTGGAAGTAGAACAGAGGCCGAAGAATTAAACGGTGGACCAGATTACGGAGGCCTACTATGCCTTGCAAAGGTGTTGGGAAAAATCCACAGTGGAATGACAAAAAATCAGATTTACATTTGAAACACACAAATCAATTCCAGCAGCAGGGGAGGATGGACCTGTGGAAGCAAAATTTAGTTAAAGAACTGTGCAATCATCCAAATGAAAAAATGCCTACATTTTTATAATAAGTATGAATTAGAAGGGCAGAGCTGAAAAACACTTGGGAGGTAAAATACATGGGATACAATAAATGAGAAAAAAAAAAGGAGAATAAAACCACAAGCTGCCAAGCTTGTTGCCGTCTAGTAATCAGCACTAAAAAAAAAAAAAAAAGAAAAAGAAAAAGAAAAAAAATCTAAAGTGAGATAGCAAAATATATTTTTAAGAATTTCTATATATTTTTAAACAGGAAATGGTATGCATGTTCTAGAAAGGGATGAGAAACTAACTTCAGTTTTGGGCTTGTTGCATCTGGGGTATATGCAGGTGACCCAGAAGCATAAACACACCTGAAGCATGAAAGGTTCTGATGGGAAATTTCAGCGTATAGCAATCAAAACTGTAAAAGAAAAGAACATGCAGTGTGAAAAGAAAATGTAGAATAAGAATTAAAAGAAACTGGGCTTGCTAACTAAACCACAGGTTATAGGAAGAGTACTATTCAAAATTATCCCACCATATATCAGTGTTATGGGTTATTTGCATTTAGCTCAAAAACAACTCACCGGCAATGCTACTGGACAGCATTATGCTAAGCGAAATAAGCCAGAAAGATAAGTATCACATGATCTCACTCATATCCTATCTAGGGTGATAGGCAAATTAACCATCACTCTGTCACAAAGATGGCGGCACCCATAGCCATAAGATGGTGGTGCCCAGTCCTCTCAGCCCCGCCGGAGTTTCCAAGTCCCGGGGGCAGGGGGGGGCGGGGGGTGGCCGCTGAGAGCAGGCAGCGTGAGAGGCCTGGCAGAATGCTTGCTTCATTGCCGGAGCGACGAGGCAAGCGTTCCACTCAGGCCACAGATGGCCTCTGGGCAGTGGCATGGAGTGGCCGGGTGGGGGAAGCTTGCCTCGTCGCCTCGTCTGGGCCATGGAGAGCCTCTGGGCAGTGGGTGTGGAGCGGCCAGGCCCCGCAGAGAGCTACTGACGCACAGATTCGTGTGTAGGGCTACTAGTCCTATATAATAAAAGGCTAATATGCAAATAGACTGAACGGTGGAATGACTGGTCGCTATGACACTCACTGACCAAGGGGCAGACGCTCAACATAGGAGCTGCCCCCTGGTGGTCAATGCGCTCCCACAGGGGGAGCATCACTCAGCCAGAAGCCAGGCTCATGGCTGGCGAGCGCAGCGGCGATGGCGGGACCCTCTCCTGCCTCTGCAGCAGCGCTAAGGATGTCCGACTTACGACCGTGGGGAGCGGGTCTAAGCCGTCAGTCGGACATCCCCCGAGGCTTCTGGACTGCAAGAGGGCGCAGGCCGGGGCTGGGGGAACCCCCCCCCCCCCCCCAGTGCACAAATTTCGTGCACCGAGCCTTTAGTGTGGAATATAATGAACAACATAAACTGATGAAATAAAACAGATCCAGAGACACAGAAGCATCGAACAGACCATCCAACCTGTGGGGGGTCGGGGGGAGAGATCAACCAAAGGACTTGTATGCATGCATATAAGCATAACCCATGGACATAGTCAGTAGGGCGGTGAGGGCATGTGGGGGGGGGGGGCAGCAGGGATCAGTGGGGAGAGGTCAATGGGGGAAAAAGGATTCATATGTAAATACTTTAAACAATAAAGAATTTTAAAAAAGAAATCTACTGGTGAACCTCATCCTTGTGATATCAACTACTCTTCAGAAACACTATAAAAATTAAAGTATGAAATTCCTCTAAGGTTAAAATAATTTACCTATTTTATAGGATTCTGTTAAGAACATATGATAGATATAATTGTTGTAATAAAAGAGACAAATCAGCCTATCCTATTCAACCTCATATCTAAAAATAAAGGAAAACTGAAGATTGTTCCTGAGGGAGAATAAACAATCATAACTCACTATATGAAAGCTAATTTACTTTGGGCTATAATATATCAATTTAAAACACACTAAAATATTCCATCTGTAAGTTTTTGGTGGCTTTCTGAATTAAGTCTCCAACTTAGTGGTAGGCTGAATGGGCCCCCAAAGGTGTCCACATCCTATGTTCAAAATTTGAATATGCTACCTTACATGGCAAAAAGGACTTTGCCAGTGTGATTAAATTCAGACTCGAGATAGGGAGGTTATCGTTGATTATCTGGGTTTGGGCCAATGTGATTACAAGGGTCCTAATAAGAGAGAAGGGGTTGAGATGAAGGGGCAGGGATAGTAGTCAAAGAGATAAATCTAAAGACGCTATGCTGCTGGCATGAAGCTGGAGAAAGAACCCATGAGCTAAGTTATGGCAGGCTCTGGAAGCTAAGAGAGGATATGAATTCTCCCCTAGAGCCTCCAGAAAGAATACAGGCCTGCCAACATCTTGATTTTGATCCTATCAGTTATTGTTTAGCTCATCTCCTCTCCACTGATTCACCATGCTATCTTAACAAAGAGAAAAAATTATACGTGTGAATATACATATGCTTACATAATATCTGTGTGTGTGTATGAAAACTCTAAAATACAAATTTAACACACCAAGTTCTGCAATAAATGTACTGCCAATTCACGTGTAACTGTAGAGTTTACAAATTCCTTAAATAAGGTTACTAGGCACACTGTCTCCTCTTTTCCCTTTGCAAAGGCAACACAATTTGTCACCAGGCTGACTCTTCAAAAAGAGTGATTAATAAAGTTACCCCTAACAGTTTTTCCCATGTTTATACTCAGCCTTGCAAAATAACTGTTGCCACTAGGTGGAGACAATTTGATAATAGGAATATTGGTTACTCACATAGGAGTAGCCACAAGTTTTCTACAAATACATGCACGTGGTAAAAAAGCTCTGCTTCTAAATTCTTGGGTGAACTAGGGCTAACCACTTTATTTGAGGATCCGGTTTCCTTCTTTGTAAATAAAATTTTACATTAAGTAGCATCAAGAGCCCTTCTTAGTGCTAATATTTTGTGGATCAAAAGCTTGCTATAAAAAACATCCTTACCTCTACGATGCCTAACGATGGTCCTTTCTTTTGACCTAAGAAAGTCTACCATTAGCAACATCTTTTAACTTGAATACTCCAATCAAACACAGCCAGTCATCTATTTCCTCCAATCCTTTCTTTTCAAAATAAGAGGCACATTGTGTATTAAAGTTCAAATATCTATCATTCAAAAGCCAAAGCCAAGGGTTTCTGCACTTTGTCTTCAAGAAAATTGCTGAAACTATACATCTCCACGTCCATCTGGCTTGTTTGCATATATATATTTTTAAATAATAAGTTAGCAATAGATCTTTTTCTGAACTATATACTGATGCTAGAGAATGTACATCTGGGAGTGGGAGTTGTTTCTCTTGTGTTTTCATTTTTTGTCCCAGTTGGTCAGAACTTTCCGTTTTTGTTGATTTCCTGAATTCTAACTCATCTGCCTCTCTGACAAGACATTCCTTACACTGGTGCTTTACTTCTGATTCTCATCTGCCTGTCTAAATTTTGTAACTTCTATGACTGTCTTAATCCCTGCTTGCCTAAGGGGTTTCTAGTATATTGCCTTCATCCCAGTATTTGAATCTAGCGGCCTACAAACTACTGACTCAATAGTTTAGACCTCAGACTTTGGCATAATTTAGGCTCTCAGCTCTGAATACACGCTAACTCTAACCAAAAACTAACTACATTCTTAGAGAGGGACAACTTTTAATTCTCCCAGTGCCCTAAGACCAAGAGACACAAAGAACAATGGTCATTTCCTGAGCAAAGCAGAAAAATTCTGAGTTCCTAATTAGAGCAAGGGAGGCTACCAACTTCATTTCACATCCCTACCCAGATTATAAGAAACTGCAAAGAAGAAAGCATATTGATATGGCAGCAATAACCAGTTTTATTTGCTGTGGACTCTATGACATCAGCACACATGGTTAGCCTCCAAAAAATATCTACATATTTAATGACACAGACAGATCAGTATCTCTATATTTGACAAGTATTTTACATCTTAAAGCTTTAAGATTTATATAAGTGTATCATTAATGACAAAGCTAAAAAGAGAAATCTAGTAACTATAGACTTGCAGTCCAAAGCCCCACATGCCAGAACAGAAGCTAACTTTTGAAAAGTGGTATACCGAGGTTGTCATCCTTTCCTAGGAAGAGACATGCCCATCAAGTGTAGATTTCTGTTAGAAGCAGCAGAGGTGCTGATAAACACATGTCAGCTTTAGCAGGTTAACAATGTAAGAAGTCACAGAAACATTCCCTTATACCAGGGGTGGGCAACCTTTTTGTGAGCGCGTGCCAAAACCAGCAAAATCTCTGACTCAAAATTCTTCTGCATGCCAACCCTAATTTTTTGAGAACATGTTACGCCTACCTGATATCTCTTAAGGTGTACGCATGTGAAAAACCTTGAAGAAATAATAAAATTCATTCGAGCGACAAAAACACAGTATATGATGAAAAATACATTTATTTTTTAATGTATACATGTACACGGATAGTCCGACAGAAAACTTTATGACTCCGTTTGATATTATCAGTGGGACTTTTGCTGCTGCATCAATGATGACAGAGATTTTACATCAGGTTTATATTTCGTGACCTTCAGAGATAGGCACGAGCTACTACTTTCATCCGTCAGGCTACTCCTATTATGAGACTTAACAAAATTCATCACTGAGAACAAAGATTCACAATTGTAAATGGAAGATTATAAGAGAGGGTTCCGCGTGCCAGCAAAAGCTACTGGCGTGCCATGTTTGGCACGTGTGCCAGGGGTTGCCCACTCCTGCCTTATACCACTGAAAATGCAAACACCAACAGAGTCTACATTTCTGGCATGGGCATGATCTACTGAAAAATTTGTGGTGAGGCAGTTCACACACACACACACACACACACATAATTAGATTAAGAAAAAAAAGTTGAAAGCTGATGCCTTCATTCTAACAGCAACTGGAATAACCCTTTTAATAAGCAGCCAAACTATTTCCAGAGATATAAATTCATATTCATATTCTTTGCCAAGTTATCCCAGTCCTAGGAAATAATCTATCTATCTACCTACCTACCTACCTACCTACCTATATATATAAAAGCCTAAGCGACCATCCAACCAGTAGCTATGATGTGCACTGACCACCAGGGGGCAGACACTCAATGCAGAAGCTGTTGTGCTGCGGTGACTTGGCAGCTGTGGTTCTCGCGTGAGGCACCGGAACCAGAGAGGAGGGAGCCTGATTCTGGGGGTGCGTCACCCGAGAACTGCCCTCTCACAATCCAGGACTCCTCAGGGGATGTCGGGAGAGCCGGTTTCCGCCCAATCCCTGCAGGCCAGGCCAAGAGGCCTCTACTGTTATTAATAATAGGTAACTTCTGCCCAGCTGGTGTGGCTCAGTGGTTGAGTGT